TAAAACAAAAAAAAAAAAAAAAAAAAAAAAAAAATGCGAAATTGAAATTAAAAATAAAATAAAATTAGTTATTCTTCTAAAAATTTTTTGCCGCAAAAATAAATATTGGTTTAGTTTCTCTTAATAAAATTATTAAGAAAAAAAAAAATTCCAAAGCTTCTGAAATGTTAATTTTATAGACATTATAATACACAAATAGAACATGAAAAAAAAGGTAAATTCAGAAAATTTTTATTTTAAGAAAAATGATTTCATCTATAATAATGGTTTAAATGAAAGTTCAAATTATTTCAATGTAAATCAAATTAAAAAACTGTGTAACTCAGAAAACAATAATATTTATGAGCAAATTTTTGATACATATTATGTAAAAAGAAATGTACTTAAAAAAAGAAAAAAGGAAAAAAGTTATATAAAAAATAGTTTATCACCATCTTTGAATAATACTAATAAAATAAATGAAATAGCGTTCCACATAAATGAAGAATCTATCACACCTTCTCTACCTTTACATTCACCTTTACATACTTCGTTACGTGGAAATTTTAAAAATAATAATGAAAATAAAAATTCAGCAGAGTCAAGTTTAAAAAAAAGAATTAAATCAAATGAAGAATATTGTTTTTATGATAATTATTTTGATCAAACACCAAAAAAATTAATTAAGGATGATATAAATATACAAGAAAAGAGATTTACTAAAATAAGTAATGAAAACTATAATAGAAAAAATAAAAATACATTGATTAATAGAAATTCATTAAATAAATACGATTTTATTAGATTTGTATGTTCTCCAAATAAAAAAAGAAGCAATGAAAAAAACATAATTACTAATAATGAAATTTTAAGTCCTAAAGAGAATATGGGTAAAAAAAAAGAAAATTATAATAAAAAGTTAAGTGAAAATATTTTTATTTCAAATTATAACAAAAATAACATAGATTTGCAAAAAAGTTTTAACAGGGATATTAACAAAGAAAGTAATAAAAATGACAATGATAAAGACTTTTCAGAGAAAAGTGAAGATAAAAATATTGGTGCAAAAGTAAAACAAGATTATATAGAACCATATGATTCTTATTCTATCAATAGATTGAGTAAAAACTTTTTTATAAACAACAAAAAATTATTTATAAATGAAATCAATAAAGATAAAATAAATTCGGATGATTATGTCGATGACTTTTTTAATAAAAATATTGTAAATGAAAAAAATGATTACACAAATTTCGATAACAAAGAAAATATTAATACGAAAAAAAATTTATATTGTGAAAATACAAAAATAAATAGTGTAAATAATGATTTTGAAAAATTTGATAATAATACACATTATTATTTTAATGGGGATTATACCTTTAATAATAATATATATGATAAAAAAAATACTAATCAAAATGACTATTTAAAGGACATTAATACTTATGTAAAAAAAAATTATAAAATGTGGAAATCACTGTATAGTTACTTAGATGTTTCATATAATTGTAGTAAAGAAGAAGTAAAAAAATCATATAAAGATAAAATAAAAATTTATCATCCTGATAAAGGGGGAAATATAAAAGAATTTTTAGAACTGAAATTATCATATGATATCTTAAGTAACGATAAAAAGAGAAAATTGTATGACAAGTATGGAAATAGTATATTAGAATTATTAATCAGTGAAAAATTTAATGATTATAATATTTCTTCTGATGAAAAAAATGAAGAAGAAGTAACAGACGATGAGTGTCTAAGAATATATGATTTGTTTGTATTAAAATATAAAAATGTTTCCTATTTACATAATTTAAGTAACTTGAAAATTAACGATAATCAATATAATGAATTTCAAAAGTTAATTCATTATTTTTTTAATACGGAAAATAACATTTTTAATAATATTTTTTATATATATCCTGTTTTTTCACCTCATATAACTCCTTTTAGTAAAAATAAAAAAAAAAATAATTCAGTAGATTCTACCCTATATTTTGACGATATAAGTAGTGAAGATTCATATAAAACTTCAGATAATTCTCCATCAAACTTTAAATTAAACGAAATTATAAATAATGATACAAAAAAAAAAAAAAATTTTTCAAATATATATAATGATATAGATTTTGAATTTTGCCATTTTTACAAAAGTTATATGATGGAAAAAATTGAATCATTAGATAAAAATAAAAGAAAATGTAACAAATCTTATGAAAACAATGAAAATGAAAATGCAAATAAAACAGTGTTTAAGGAAAACGATGATTCTTTATTCGAAAAGGATAAAATTAAATTATCAAATGATAATTCTTATAATGATTATGATAATGCAAGAGAAAATAAAAATTTTTATGAAAGAGATTCTTCAGAATTTTTTAAAGATATTCAATTATCACCATTTGCATATAGAGTTATAAATGATGACAATAAAAAACACGTTAATGATTTCTATAGATGGTTTGAATTTTTTTTTGAAGATAATTTAAGTGAAATGGAAAGTAAGGAAGAGGATACTTTTTATGAAGATGAAGAAAAATCACTTATAAAAAGAACACATAAAAATATTTATGATTCAAGTGAAAATATAAAAAGTGATAATTTCAATAAAATAGAACAAAATGTCCAAAAAGAAAATGAACAGAATTTAAAGAAAAATGAATTTATAGATAATATAGGAAAGAAATTAATCCCACAAAATGAAATGGAGAAAAAAATTAAGGAGAGGTTAAAGGAAGATAATTTTATAAAAAAAATAGAAGAAGATCATAAAAATAATTATGAAGATATAAAAAAAACTGAGGAATTTATTAACATAGAGCAAGAAAATATTAGTGACGTAAGTAATATTCATTTTGAGGAAAAGGAATATCATAAACATATTAGTAACTTAAAAGATTATAATGAAAATGAATATAAATTTATTGATTTAAATACAAAAAAAAAAAAAAAAAAAATATATGCAAAAGAAATTAACAATTCTTTTAATAAACATAATAAGACTATAATAACACATAACTGCAATTCATCTATAGATAATACAAATAACCTATCCCAATTTCCTAATCCTGTAAATAGTTCATTAAATTCAAATTGTAAAATAAATATTAATTCACAAAATGAATTCCTAGAAAAAAAATTCAACAAAAGTTATGATGATATATTGAACATTGAAGAAAAATATGGGTTTAATTTAATTAAAAAAAGTGAACATAAAATTAATGATGTAACACATGACTTTAATTATATATATATAGGGAATAATAAAAATAAAAAAAAAAACTTCATATTATTCATAAAAGAAGAAAGTATTAAAAAATTTTTGAAAATAAAATTACTGATTAGCAAAATTAAAAAAAAAACTAATTTAAAACAAATATCTTTATTTGAAAATGAAATAGACAAAAATTTAAAAAACATTGAATATATATTACTATTGACAACATATAAAGAAGAATTAGTACCATTAAATGATTTTTATTTATTGGATAAAAATATATATTCAAAAGATTATTATTGTATTCCTTTATATATAAAAAAAAATAATATAATTAGACCACACTTTTGCCATTTTAAATGGATTATATATACAATACAATCATTATTATTTTTTAATCTCTATTTTAAAAAAGTTAACAAATATATGTATACTTTTCCATTCTTCAACTATAAATATAACTGTTTGAAAAAATATATAGAAAATAATACAGAGGATAAAAATTTCGATAAAATAAAAGACAAATATATTTTTTTTCAGCATTATATAATAAAAAATAAACATAAATATTTAAAATATTTTCCACATTATTTATTTCTATATTTAAAAGATGTGATATCACTGAATGAAAACATTCAGAAACAACTTCAAATAAATTTATCTCCAATTTTTGTTTTAACACCCAATAAGCTTTTTCAAAATATCGATCTTTAATATTATAAATCATTAAAAAAAAGAAAAGTGTATAATGAAATGATTAATAGTAAATATTCCATAATGATAAAATAAATATTTTTTTTATTCACTGGTTTAATTTGTTTTTATTTGAATTTTTTCTTTTTTTTTTTTATTTATATTTAAGCTTATTGTTGTTAAATTAATTTGTTACATACAAATTTTAGAAGTAATTTATTTTACATTATGTTTTTTTTTTTTTTTTTTTCAATTTTTGTTTCCTTTATAATAATATAGAATTATTGAATTTTTCTTAATTACCATACAATTTTTTGAAGTTCATTTTTCGTATTATATTATTTTTTGTTCTTTATTATTATATATATACCAAATTTATATGAATTAAAATATTTAATCATATTTTTAGTTTTATAATTAATAATGCTTAGAAAAATATATATATATATATATATATATATATATATATATATATATATATATATATATATATATATATATATATATATATATATATATATATATCTTTTTTTATTTATTCATTTTATGAAGTAAAATATTTTTGTGTGACACAACAAAAATTATATGACTTGTTTGAATACTTTTACATAATTCCTATTTATAAGAAAATTCATATGTAGATTAATTTTTTTTTTTTTTTTTTTTTTTTATAAATATATATATATCTTTAGTTTTATAACAAAAATTCTTCAATATAGAATACTATTATAAAAAAAAATTTTTAATTTAAAACATCTTTGATACAATTACATGTGTACACAATTTATAGTACAAAACATTTTGTAAAATTCTTCATTTCATTATTGAACATAGAAATACATTTATATAAAATTTAAAGTAAAGAATAAAACATTTAAAGAAAATATCTTTTTTTTTTTTTTATATATATATATTCATATGAATATAAAAAATAAAATTTTTCATTATTTTATTTTTGCTTGCACTTTAAATATGTTTTAATGTAGGAGATAGTATAAAAAATATTATTATTAAAAAAAAAAAAAAAAAAAAAAATTAATGAAAATTAAAATCATATGAATGTAATTTTTAAATATATATAGAGATATATGTTTTTATAAAATTCAAACATAAAATTACACTTATAATGAAAATTAATTAATTCTATTATATGAATAAAATTAAAATATTTTGTTAAAAATGAGTGAATCAAGTAATAAAATTTTAAAAGCTGAAATAGGAATAATTAAAAAAGTTGACCTAGAACTATTTAAAAATATTATATTACCTTTCAATGGATTAGTTGAAGAATATAATGAAGAAAAGTAAGTTAATTTTTTTTTTTTTTTTTTTTTATTAGAGTGTGAATATTTTATTTCAGTAATTTTTTTTTAGATAATTTTAGTTTAACACATTATATTCTTTTAACTTTTTTTTTAAGCGAAACAGCTATAGTGCAATTTAATATAGGTATAGAAAAAAAGCATTTAGAAGGATTAGGAAACTACACAGTGAAACCAATGTAAATATAATACATACACATTAAGATATACACATATATTATCATATAAAAACTATTTCTTATTATGTGATATATTTTATACAAAAGAGAAATGTTACAATATAATAAAAGTTATAAATTTTTTTTTTTTTTTTTTTTCTCTCTTAGGCAGTTTGATTTGATTGAAACAAAAGATAAAGTATAATTATATATAGAATTATTTTATGAAATTTTTTCATTAAGTTTTATAAAAATACATTTATTATATTATTTTTTTCCTATAGAATTTAAGAAAAAGAAATATAAATTTTATATATGATAGAGTTATTATAGATGAACATGATATTATTAGCATTTTTCTGAATATTACGTAATACTATAAAATAAGAATAAAATTTAAAATTTTAGATTATCAATTATTTATTTTCTTTTTTTATGTATTTATTTTTGCAGTTTAATAGCTCCTGTTATATTTGTATTGTTAAGCATATTGATATTATCATCTATATTTTAAAAAAGCATAAAGTATTTTAATTTTTATCTATATAATAACTATAATTATTAAAAAGAAATTTTTTTTTTTTTTTTTTTTTTTTTTACAATGTAGTTTTAAAATAATTAAAAATTAATGAATAAAACCCAAAGACAATTTTTTATATTATACAAATTTCTACTAAAAAAAAAAATTAATATTTTTGCTTTAGCGTTTCTTTTTAATTCTTTACTCGTTTAAATTAAAGTTTAAAAAAAGAAAAATAACATTAGAATATAATTAAAAATAAATTGTTATAGCAATTTTTAAAAGCAACTAAATACACATAAAGTAGATACTTGTGACAATGTTGTCATTAAAATAATACATATATATAATTTGATACATGTGTTGTTCTTTATATTAAACATTTTATAATAATTTCAAAACATATATATTTAAATCCTCTATAATAATATTCTTTTAATAATTGTTTTTTTTTTCTTGCTTTTATGTTGTACATTTCATGAAATATTGTAATTCGTTATAAAAATTATTTTAATTATAAAAGAATTGAACTTTACATATAAAATAATATCTTTTATTAAAAAATGTATAACAAATAAATTTTTTACTTATGTAAAATTATTTTCCCATATATGTTTTTTTTTTTTTTTTTTTTTTTTTTTTTTATTTAAACCAATATAGTTACTAAATATTTAATAAAAATTTATAAAAAAAATATAATACATACAATGTGTTTAAACATATAAAATTTTCTTAAGAGAATATGGTATAATTTTAAGAAGAGTTTCTTTTCTACATACAATTTATTTATTTAAAATACATATCATAAATATTTTCCACATAAAACTGTTAATAATTATTATATCTAAACTGTTTATCTTTGTTATTCTATTCTTTAATTAGTTTACGCCATATGCATATATATTTTTTTAAAAAACATATTGGTGCACTAATTTACACACAATTTTTTTTTTTTTTAACTTTATATATTCTCTATTTGTGTAAAAATAGAGGTATTGTAAATGATATCTATTCCATTAAAAATTATGAATTATTATTTTTCATTTTTCTGTTTTTTATTTTTAAGGTTATTTTGAAGTTTAATATATAAATCGTATTATTTATAAATTTATATCTTATTTTTATAAAAATTATTTTATAAATTTTTTTTAGTAGTTAAGACTTCATTTTTTTTAAATATTATGAAAAATATTAGTTAAAATTGCATTTTTAAATTTTTGTTATGGAATTATTTTCCGTTATAAAATGTATTTTTCAATTGTTTTTATATTAATATTTTATGTTGTAGCGTAAGTATTTTTTTTTTTTTTTCAATTTAAAATGTGTATGTGTATTTTTTTTTTTTTTTTTTTTTTTCCTTTGAAAACATTTAGGTGTATATTTTTTTAATTTTTAAATTTAAATGAGTATTTCTTCTTTTAATTTTTAATATATATGTGATTTTTTTTTTTTTTTTTAAATATTGAAACTTACGTAAGTGTATATTTTCTTAAATATGCTATTATATATATATTTTAATTTAATATATATACATATATATTTCGTTCTATGCTTTTTTTTCTGTCAAAAATTTTCCATTAATAATTTTTTTAGTTTTTTTTTTTTTAACTGATAAAATTTATTTTTACGTTCATACTTTCTGATTTAAATTGTTTTTATTAATTTTGTATTGTATATTAGAGTTTCATATTAATATTATTCAAATTTTTGTAAAAAATATTTTTTCTATTCTTTTAATTGTTTTGTTTCTTTAAATATTAATTTGTAATCTTTAATGTATATGTTATGTATTTTTTTAAGTTATTTTTTTTTTTTTTTTTATTTATTTTAGATGATAAAAATATTGTAGGGTCTTTTTCTTAAAAAATACGGATTTATTTTTTTAAAATTTTCAAAAAAAAGAAGATGGAAAATTCAATTAGACATTCTATAGATATAAAATCAGAAGATTTCGTTGTTATAATTGCTCTTCAAAATTTACAAACATTTATTATGATAGGATATACAGCAGTTAATAAAGTTCATTTAAGTTTTGATTTTTCTTATTTATGGGCATTGTGTGTAGGAACATTATTATTTATATATTCATTAATTAGCTTTGTTATAATTAGAACATTTGTATTCTCAAAAATTGATATAGGAAAATATATATTAGAACTACTGTTTATTGCTAGTATAATTGTTACATGCTCCTTATCTATAATAATTGATTCCTTTAAAATAGCAAATATGCAATTATTATTTTTCTCTTTTGCTTTAACTGGATATGCATATTATAATTTAATAACTTTAATTTTTTTTAGTGTATCAATAGGTATTTTAATTGAGTATAATTTGAATGTAGAAGGGTTTGCTTCAAATATAGATGCTTTATTTTTTATAGATTTGTTATCCTATATTTTACAAATAATTGGTGGAAATATTTTGTATTTTCGTATGTATGAATTATGCCATCTAATAGTGTTATCTAAAAAAAATCCATGTAAATATGTGGTGGCTTCAAAAGAAGTAAAGCATTTAGAAAAACAAATTTTTACATCTTTGCTGAATTCCTATATGTGCTTTAAATCAAAAACATATTCTGATTTAGCTTATACTAATGATTTATTAAATAAAGATAATTCTATTTTAGATAATGATATGAAGACAAATTCTATTATATCTCAAACTAAACCAAATTCTAATAAAATTTTTCACTTTGATAGTGATAATAATAATAATAATAATAATGATATTAATAATAATAATAATAATAATAGTAATAATAATAATATTAATAATAATAATAATGATATTAATAATAATAATAATAGTAATGATAATAATAATAATAATATTAATAATAATAATAATAATACAAATTCTTATCTTAAAAAATTAAAAATTTCAAATACACTATCTTTTATTAACAACTCTAATTATAATACAAAAACTCTTAGTTTAGTGAAAAAGATTTCGAATAAAAAACTACACAGTAATAATAATAATAATAAAGAAGTTACTAAAAAAAATTCTGCATACTTAGATAATTTAAAAAATCAGGACAAATTAGAGCAAATTTCTAAAGAGTTAAGAAACTCAGAAGTAGATAAATTACCTCATATAAAAAATAAATATGAATATTTAGAAAAAAAAAAGAAACTAAAAAAAATAGATAAATTTCCAAAAAAGGAAAAATCGGGATTAATAATAAACAGCAAAAAAAGTTTGTTTATGACAGAAGATACTCATAAAGAAGAGATTTTTAATAATGATAATTATGAAAACTCAAAAACAGATGAAATAAATAATGAAAATCATGAATCTATTATAACAGTTAGAAGTAGTACAATGGATGATAATATAAGAAAAGATAATATATTATTAGGAAAAAAAATGAAGTCTGATTTCATAATTAATATTTTAAATAATAAAGATGATAATGAAAAACATTACATGAAAAATAATATTGAGAAAAGAAAAGACAAGATAAGTATTAATAGTGAAAGAACACTCAAACATTGTTACAAAAGGAATTGTAATCAAAATGATTTTAATGACCTAAATTATAATAAAAAAATAATAATAAATGATTCTAATTGTGATAAGCATGCTATAAATGATAACTCATATAAATTCAATAAAAATAATACATATGAACATAATATATATGAAGATGATGATTATCATTTTCATTATAGCATGAATTATTTCTCAAAAAGGTCAAGTAAAAAAAAAAAGAACAAGGAATTAAATAAAAACGAAACTAAAAAAAGTTCTGAAAGAAACACAAGCAATTTAAATGAAATTCTATATGATGAAAATAAGGAAAATAATGATTTGTTTAAATCAGAAGGAAAGAGCAAAATGAAATATTTAAAAAAAAAATTTTTTTATTCTAAAAATAATAATTTTTTAAATTTTTTATTCAGAAACAATAAAGAAAAGATACATAATAACAATTTAATTAAAAAAAAAAAAAATAGTAACATGGAAGAAATATATGAAGATATTTATGAATATAATGAATCAAAGTGTGATAACAATTTAAAAAGAAGTAATTATAATATAAATTTTGAAAGCACAATAAGAAAAAATGAAAGTATATTAGAAAAAAAAGAGAATAAAGAAAAAAAGGGAATACAAAATGAAAATATGAAAAGAAAGAAATCTAAAGTTGAAACGGAAAATAATTATTATAAAAAAAATAGTATTGAACAAAGTGAAAATGATAAAAATTGTATTTATAAATACGATCAAAAATATTTTATTGATAAAAATAATAATAATAATAATAATAAATACAATATCGAAAAAAACTATATTAATAATGAAACAAAATATGGTAAATGTAAAAGTGTTGAACTTACAGTGAATAGAAATACAATAGATGAATCTAAAGATACTCTAAGATTAGAAAATAAATTAATGTCTAAAAACATATTTTTGTCAGAAGGTAGTGAAATGAATGAGAATAATAATGATATAATATTAAAATGTGAAAAAAAGACTTTATATAAAAATGTTCTTTTTCGTAAATCTAAAAGTTCTCTCTATATAAGTAACGACAGTGAAAATAATTCAAATAATTGTACATTGAGTAATAACAGATCTAGAATATTTGTATCTAATTATTTGCATAAAATATCAAATAAAGAAGCAAGAAGTGGAAGTAATAGTAATTCTAATTATAAATATGATAAGAAAAGCGCTAGTAATCAACAACATGAAATATTAGATAAAATTATAGAACTAGATATTAGTAGCCAAACAAAAAAAAGCAAAAAAAAAAATAAAAAAAAAGAATTATCATTATCAAAAAAAAAAATATATTTTACTTCAAAAAAAAGAAAAAGATATAAATTATTTTTTTTAGATAATCCCAAATTAAAAATTTTATTTATGTCCCTTCCAAGATGTTTTAAAAATATATATGATTTATCAAAGAGAGTTTTTGTTGATTTAAAAAAGAAAAAAATACTGATGCAAAATGCAACATGGAAAAATAAAAGTTTCATACCTGAAAGAGATCCATTAGGTTTATTTAAAAATACTAAGTTAGAAAACTGGTATATAACATGGATGAATGAATTTAACAAAAATATTATTTCTAAAACATACTATATATATATATATTTAATAATATACATAATAGCATTAGATTTACTAACATCATATAAATTATATTGCACTAATATTGCAAATAGTGCATTACTACATCAAAATTATTTAAGCTATTTTCTTCTTAAGACTCTAGTTAATGCCTTTATATATATTTCTTTTTTCTCATTATTTAAAAATAAAAATAAAAATGATTATGATATCAGAAAGTATTATATTTTAACACTTTTCTTATGTATTATAAAGCTAATAATATGTTCAGTTGATATTTATGTGGCAATTAGTTCTTTAGATTATTTTAGAAGTCCATATTTTGTTTATATATATATTCATATGTTAATTATTCAAACATCAGTATTACTAATAGTTAGATACCCTACACAATATTTACTATTTTTTATATATCTTATTTGCTTTTCTTCAATTTATTGGACTTTCTCAATTCAAAAATCATTCATGGAATTTATTTTTATTATAGCATGTATTATATTTACAATAATATATTCTTATATTTTATGTTCAAGAACTTTAGAAATCAACAGAAGAATACTTTTTTCTAAATATGAATTACCATATTTATTGTATTTAAAAGAGATTGTTTATTGCTTAAATAAAAATCAAAATAAAGGTTATCTGTAATTAGTTTTGCGATATAAATTTCTAGGGATTTATTTTTTTTTAAAAAAAAAAGTTTAAAATTTTAAAAATAAAAAAGAAATAATATTTTACAAATTATTATTATTTACTTTTTTTTTTTTTTTTTTTTTTTTTTTTTTTTTGTAATTTTCTATTTTAAATATATTTCTAAGCCTTAATATTCACATAATTACTAAGATATTTCTCTTGTTATTTTTTTATTTTACTTTTTTTTTTTTTTATAAAAAGTTTTTCAATTTTTTAATCCTTTGAATAATATATATATATTTTTTTTTTATTTTTCTTCTATTTTATCTAATTATTTTAAAAGCTTTTAAATTATTTTTTTTTAATTTCTAAAATTTTATTTATTCTTAATATTTTAATTCAATATTTTAAATACATATAAGCTTTAAGTAAGTATTTTTTATTATTTCCTAATTTATTTACCTTTTATATTTAAAATTTATTGAAATAACATTTTCATTAATTTATCATACATATACTTAATATATTTATTATAAAACTTTAAAAGTATTGAAAGTATTTAAATTTTTTTTTATTTAGTTAATGAAGAAATATCCCATTTATTTTATTTAACATTTTTTTCTTTTATTTTTTTTAAAAATGTTATGAAAATAAAAAGTTTTAAATAACATCACTTTTTCTTTAATTTTTGCATTAATTAGGCATAATATTAAAATATTTAATAATAAAGTTGTTTTTAATACTTAATGTATTTTTTTGTTTCATTTCTTTTTCATTTTTTTTGATTATTTTTCACACTTTAATTTTTAATTACAAAAAAAAAAAAAAAAAATTTATGCTAGAACTATTTTTAAAAACTTTAATGTTAGCAATGTATAAAAATTTTAATATAAACGAAAATAATAAAAAATTATATTTTTTACATATAAGCATAAATGCATATAATACACATTTTTTTTATATTTTTAATTTATTGATTTTATTAAACAAAATTATTTAATTAATTTTCTTCTTTTATATGTAATATTTAAATAATTTTATTTTTTAACATTTTATCATTTTGTTTTTTTTTTTTTAATATATCAAATTTAAAATTAAAAAAATATTTACTTTTTTTATAAAGCATTTATATTCATAATAAAAATATTGTAGTTTAAAAAATTCTTTTCGAAATGTATATATATATATATATTACATTATTTATTACTAGTTCTATATGTATATAATTAAGTTGTAAAAAGTAATTCATTTATCAAAAAAAAAAAAAAAAAATATAATTATATTTTTACATTATTTATTTTTTAGTTTTTTTCATTTGTTATTAAATAACATTTTTATAAAAAAAAAAAAATTACAAAACTAGCTTTTTTTTTTTTTTTAATTTTGGATATAATGATATTAGTAAGAATAAAAAATAATGAAAAAATAGCTTATATATTAAAAAAAATAAATAAATAAAATAAAGAGTTAATAAAAAATATAATGTATTAACATAATAATTTAATGTATATATATATATATATATATATTTAAGATATATAAAGGAATAATTGTATGAATAAAATGAAACAATAAAAATATAATTATTTGTAATAAATTAATAAGTTTATAACAAATATATATATACCAAAAGTTAAAGTATTTTAAGAAAATATGTGTATGTAACTACATTGGTTAATGAATTTTATGTTTGAACTTTTTTAAAATGTAAATTTCAAATGATTTTCTTTTTTTTATTTTAAATAGAGAAGAAGTTCTATGCGTCTCTTTTCTAGTGAATTTAAATCTCTGCCTAAACCGGTTTGTTATTTGAAGCATTTTACTCATACCAATGTTTTTAGATGAATTTACTTTATATTTCTATTTCAATTTTTTGTGTTTTATTTTTTATTTAAATTTAGTTATCATATATTTTTTTTTCTTTATATAACCTTTTTTTAACATAGCCTGCAGGAACAGGTGTAGTATTTCATGGGAATATTCAACAGGTTAAATATGCAATTGATTTTTCAAGTTATATATTTATAATTTTTTCTGGATTTATGGGAGCAATTTCAGGAAACTTTTTTTATAAGAAATTTATTTTAAGAAAAAATCCTCCAAATGTAATATTAGACAAATATTTTTTTATCAAATAAATTATACCTAATATATAACTTTAATAGTATTTTTATAAATTTTTTATGTACTTTATTTTTTTTTTTTATGTTAGCCTTTGAGAGATCCCTTAGATTTACCACCAGAAAAACATCCGCATACACCAGATGATGATTAGAAAAATAAAAATACAAATTATTACTACTAATAAAATATTGCTGTAATTTTGTAAAATGAAAGATATTTTATTAAAAAATATTTGAAAATTATTATTTGTAATTTAAAAGAATAAGAATTAAGATTTTCGCTTTTGTTAATAAAATAAAAATATGAAAAATATAAAAAAAAAAAAAATGAAGAATTTTTTCCTATTTTTATCCTTATTATAGAATATCATTTATGGGTACATATATATTTATCAAGAATTTATTAAAGAGTTCATATATGATTAAAAATATGAAAAAAAAAAAAAAATTAAAGTGTATAACAAAGTGTTAAAGATAATTTTTATAAATTTATATATTAGCAATATTATATTAGTAAATATTATTTAAATATTTTAAATATATATTGCTAGGATATAGTAAAATAATATATATATTAACTAATGAATAAACTAAATATTATATAAACTAATACAATTTTTATTTTTTTTTTGTAAAATTAAATATTAATATCTTTAATATTAAAATAATAAAAAAAAAATATATATTTGATTCAAATAATATAAAGAAAATTCTTCAATAAATGTCTAGGAGGATAAAAAAAATTAGAAATTACAAGGTATAGAAATGAAATTAAAGAAACTCATATTTAAAAAATTTTTTTTTTTTTTTTTTGTATATTTAAATTTTATTTTTTTATTTTATTATAAAGATATAAACAGAATAGAATATTCATATTTTTAATATTATGAGAGTTATATACAATTAATAAAATAAATTTTTATCTATATATTTATTTCATTTTATTCTTTTGTCTTTTAAATTTATTTTTTACATTTTTATTTTTAAATAATCCATGTGTATATGTACTTATATATATTTTTCTTTTTTCTTTTTTTTTTTTTTGTATATGGAATGCTTATTAGTAATTGTAAAAATAGTATAATTTTATGCAATTCAATTTTAATATAAAATAAAGAATAATGAAGAAATAAAATTAAAAAAAACTAAAATAAAAACTTAAAAAATTTCTAGTATGTAATAAATAAAGATATGAAAATCTCTCTGAATAATAAAAAATTTTAAAAAAGAAAATACTCCATAATATTTTTAAAATATATTTAAACAAAATTTTAGCATAATTTTAAATACTTTTTTTTTCCGTAAAAATACAATCATTTTCTTCTATAAATATATAATAATATTTTCATCATTTAATTTTTATATATATGTTTTAGAAAATGTTACAATATATTATATACTGCTTTTTTTATATACCATTTCAATAATTATATGTTCTAATTTCCTTTTTATTTTTTCTATTTTGCTATTATATAACGCATATTAAAATACCTTATAAATATAAATTCATATAGTTGTAACTTTTGATTCTTTAAAATTTTTTTTTTTTTTTTCATTTCATTTTTAATTCACTATTTTTTTAATTTTTTTTATGTCTTCATATTTTTTATCATATTTGTATTTGGTTTTTCTTTTGTTTTCACAATATTCTTTATTATTAAATTTTTATGTAATTTTGTTATATAGCCATGTATCTTATAATAATTAAATAAACAAAATAGAATTTAATAACAATGTAGAAACATTTATTGATAAAATTTGTTTTTCTAAAATAAGATGTAAAATAAATTGAATTAAAAATGAAGTATATTTTTTATATTTTATTTGTGTGAATATATACTTAATTTTATTTATTTTTTTTATTAGATATTTCTTTTCAAATTCATAAATTTTTTAAATAAATTATTAAAAGTGAAATAAGTATGTATTAAATATATATAAATATATATCTATTTAGATTGACTATTGAAATATTATTTTTTTTTTTTTTTTATTGTTTTTTTTAGGTATTTTGAGATGTATTTATCTTTCATTATATATTTATTTATAATTTCAAAAATAAATAGTTCATTAAATTTGAAAAGGGAAGTGAATACATTAAAAGCGTTTCATTTTCTTAATACGCATTTACATAGAAGAAAATTTTTTTTAACATATTTAACAAAAAAAGAATCAAGCCGTCATGAAATATATAGAAAAAGATATGAGAGGCAATTAAAAGATGCATTACAATCAATTATATATAAACAAGGTATTAAACTAAATTATAAGTATCATATAGATGAAGATATAATAGAAGGAATAAGTATTTATAAAGTTGAATTAAGTAGTGATTGTTCTGTTGCTAAAGTATTTGTAGAAATTATGGGAGATTCTATCGATTCTAGACAAGTATTATTTAGTTAAAAAAAAAATTGGAATTTAAAAATATATATATATATATATATATATGTATTATTTTTAATTATTTAAATTTTTTTTTTAAAAAAAAAAATAAAATTATATTCCTTTTTCATTTAGGGATATATATGGATTAAAAAAAACACCAAAGGCATCCGTTATAAACTAGCTCAATTAATTAGAGACAAAAAAAGAGTTCCTTTTTTAAATTTTGTTTTAAGTAATTTAAGTGAACAAACACAATTATTTTGTGAGATAGAAAATATAAAAGAATATTATGCAGATATGTTTAAAGATGAAATAAAAAATGAAGAAGAGTTAGAAAAATAAAAAAAAAAAAAAAAAAGCCATCAATAATAGTTGTAAGATAATTATTCTTATTTTAATTATAACATATATATATATATATATATATATATTGCTTTACAAGATATTTTTTTTTTTTTTTTGTATTTTTTTACAAGTAAAATTTTTGCTTATTATTATTTATTTTTTGTATAATAACTCATACATACTATTTTATAACTTTAAAAAATTTTGAAATCATAAAAAAAAATAATAGATATAAACATGAATTAATTCTATAGTAAATATTAAAAAAATAAAAAAAATAAAAAATTATTTTTAATTTTATATATATAAAAAACAATTATTTTGCAAAAATTAATAAGAATTAACTAATAAATATAAATAAACATTATTACATAAAAATAAATTAATATTTTCCAAAATTTTATAAGAATTATTTCTATTTGTTATGATAGATTAAAAGGAAAATTTGTGTTGTAATTCAAAACTTTACAAAAGTCTTAAATTATGTAAGTTTAATAAATTAAAAAATAACTAATAAGAAAGAATTTAAAAACTATTGGAAGTTCTTATGGAACAGTAAATTTTATTTCAAAATATAAAATTTTTTTTTTAATTTTCATACATTTATAATATTATTTGTAAACAATAAAATACTCAAGCTAGTTTTATTCAAATAAGTAATTATATTGAGTCTAACATCTTATTACTTTTCACTATTCTTGAATATTTATTTTCTTCTATAATAACATATTATTTATAATTATTTTTTGTTGATATGTTTTACTTTTGTCCTCTTTTATATTTTTCTTTATTTAGAAAAAATATGCTCCATTAAATATGCGTTTTCTTTATTTCCATAATACATTGGTTCTATTCCTTTAACTTTATAATTTAATAAATTATAATATAAATTTAACGCTGCATTATTACTTACTCTAACATGTAGACATATATTATTAGCCAAATAAATGTCTTTTAAATGTTGATGTGTTTGAGATATTAAATAAAAAGCTAGTTTTAATTTTCTATAATTTTTTAAAACAGCAACAGAAGTTAAATGACCTTTTTTTTCATTATCTTCTTCTAACTTTCCCAATGAATATCCACAAACTTTTCCTTTACCATCTTCAGCTATGTGACTTAAATAAGGCCATGATAATGCATGATAAAAATAATATCGCAAATTATAATTTTCTGGTAAATTTATACTGTTACATTCTTGCATTGATAATAAATCATATACATTACATTTTCTTATTGACAACATTTTTTTTTTAATTTTATAATAAAATAAATATTTTCAAAAATAATCTTTATCTCTTTTTCTTTTATTTTTTATTTCTCTTTCTATATATATATATATATATTTATACTTAATATGGAAATTTTGTCTTAAATTGAATAATGCTTATTTTAAAAAAAAAAAAAAAATATACATACGTATTTTCATATCCAGTTTTATTTTCTTTTTAAAAGTAATTATAAAACAATATATTTTTGAAAATAAACAAAATACGTATTTATTTTTTTTATATTTAACAATTAATTATATTTCTTAATAAATAAAACTTAATTAGAACAAATTATTTATCATCTACAAAATAAAATTCTCAATAATTTTCCAACATACTATTTTTTTTTTTTTTTTTCCTTTTTTGTTAAAATAATTTAATATTTACACTATTTTCACTTTCTAAAAAAAGTATCTATTTTTTTTTATATAAAAAGCTTAAGGATTACTTTTTAACTATTAAATACTTTATATTTTTAATTTCTTTTTTAATTTTTATAAATTCACAATTTTTTTTTTTTTTTTTGCTTATAAATATTTATGTATATATATATTTTCTTTTTTAATCTTTTATTCAATCGGTATATTTTTCATCTCCATATTTTATGATAAAAAAATTTGCAATATTTTAAACATAAAAAAAATTAATGTTATTTCATAAAAGAATAACTTTAAATTTATATTTTATAGAAAAAATAGATATAAAAAATCGTAAGCATGATAATAAAAAAAAAAATTAAATATAAACATTATTTAAAAATTCCAAAGATTAAATTATAAAATTTATTTTTTAGTTAATATATATGTTATTTTTAACTGTGAAAACAAGTATATTTGTTAGATATAAAACATTTAATGCCCATAATATTTAGTAATATATAAATATGAAAGATTTATTATTTATATATATGTTATATAATTTTTGTTTTTCAAAATAATATAAGCATTATTTACATTAAAATGTTATATTTAATGTTTAAATAAAATATTTATAGTTTCATTCATAACAAAATTTGAAGTTATTTTTTTTTTTCTTTTAAGTAGTTATCTTTTTATAAATTAAAAGAAAAAAAAAAGAATTACACACAAAAAAAAAATTTGACAAAGGTGAATTCTAAAAAAAAAAAAAAACATTAAGATATAGAGATATACAAAACAAATAAATATATTAAATAAATGTTAATGAAAAATTAATCAAATAAATACATAAAACATAAAAGAAACTATAATAGAAAAAAATAATACTTAAACAAAAAACAATGTTATTAAAATATTTACAAAAAAAAAATATAATTAAATAATACTTGAAACTTAAACAAAAGTAACATAGATGAATAATAATTAATAAAAAAAATTAAAGTGAAAAAACAAAAAAATATAGATTTAAATTTTAAGGAGTGAAAGTTTTATATATACTTATACATTAAAATAACTATGAGAAAAATACAAAAACTAAAAAATTAAATACTTTATCTAAATAAATATAAATATATATGGAGGGAGATAGAATGAGAGAGCGGGTGATAGACAGAAATAAAAAAAAAAAGTAAAAGATAAACAAAGCATTTATTTAATTATTTTTTTTTTTTTTTTTTTTTTTTTTCTATAATAAAGTTGATCTTAATATAAGAAAATTGTCTGTATACCTAAAAATATACCAAAAAACTTTTGAGACAAACATTAGATGATAAATATCAAATGGTTCTGCCAAATAACCGGTAGATGTGTTTTCTCCATTTATTGCTAGTTTATATATTTCATAACATTGCATATTTTCAGGAATATTCATAAAAACGTGATGTATATCAATATTCTTATTTAGCTTAATCCTACTCAATTTGTAAAATTTATATCCCTTTAATTTTATATATCTCATAGCAATTTCTTCAGGAGTTAATTTCTTATACAAAGTAAAAGGGCTTTCAAAAAAATGTTTCCATTCTTCATCATTTAATAAACAACATGATATATGAATCATATAAATCAATGCTGTTTGTATCATAAATAAAGGAAATATTTTTTGTAAGGATATTTGTATTTCATCATAAGAAACTAATCTAGATAAAAATATATCATTACACATATGCCACTTTGGTATAAGTTTATAAGACATTTTTTTTTTTTTCTTTAAAAAAAATTGTTCAAATGAATCATTTTTCTCATTTTTATTATAATCATGTGTATTATTGTAAGTATTATATTGATAAAGATGTTTCAAATTTTTACTTGATGTTTCATACTCTTTATATGTATTCAAATGATTATATATTTCTTCATTTTTTAACTTAAAATTTTTATTATTTTCATTATCACTTTCTCCTTTAATTGTAGTATCATTTTCTTTTTCATTTTCTGTACTTTCTTCACTACTTGAAAAATATTCTGAGACGCTATTAGAAGATATCGAGTTTTCATTATTATTTGTATTTATTTTGTTCTTTTTCAAACAATATCTATAATTTATATAATACGAAGAATCAACCATGTCAACTGTCTTATCAGATGGAATTCCTACAGACTCGTTAAACATCCCTGTATTAGCACCAAAACTCCATGATATTAATACAAATAATTTTATTATATCTAAGATAATTTTATTTCTTAGTTGAATCTTTATACTATTTTTTCCTTTATATTTTAATATATTAATATAATCACTTCTTGAATTAAATATATCTGCATTATTATATAATGATGAAAAATAACAAGTCGGTATGGGAAAATCAGGTGTAATATATGGAATATATCTCATACAGTTCATAAAACCATTAAAGTTAAATTTTTTGGGTAATATTTTTTTTTGACTAAATATATGTTTAGGCACATCAGGGTCGCAAAAACATATACCTAAAAAGCATTCATCAATTGATGTGAAATTTGGGAATTTTTTTATTTTTCCTAAATTTTCAATAAATATTTTGAACATCTCAAAACTTATTTCCTTAACTTTTTTATGAGTATCAACCATGTTAAAGAAATTCGAATATATGGAAGAATTTTCATCTATTATATTGTTGTTTTCATTAGAACTTTCAGTGAAATTTTTTTTTTTTGAAAAAATTTCGCTACTTTTTATATCCTTATCATGTTGATTTTTATTTAATGTTTTTGATTCATTTCTTTCGTATATATTATTATTATCCGAATTGTTTTCTTCATTAAAATCTTTCTCTTTATCTTTTTTAAACTTCAAAAAGAGATTAACATAATTGCTTTCATTCATATCTGAAGAAAAACATCTTCTTAATATAAACTGCGAATTTTCATTTTTATTATTTTCATTTATTCTTTTTATACCTGCTGAATTTATGCTACAGTTATTATCATTTTTTTTGGATAACTTAACAACACTAAAATTTACATTACTTTCATTTTTATTATAGATTATATTATTATCGTCATTTTGATTTGTATTCTGCATGCTATAGTTGCTTTCTCTTTTTTTAAATTTAATATATTTCTCATAAATTTTTTTGGTTAGGTTAAAAGCTAAAAAAGAATTATTATATTTTTCATAATTCTTATACTCATGGTTGAACTCTAGTAAAGCTTCAAAGAAATCTATTACAGATTTAAATTCATAATAATATAATATGTATTCTTTTATTTTCCTAATTTTATTATGAATCCTTTTTTTTTGAATATATCTAAAATAGTCAGATTTAAAAGGAGGACATGACGAATAAAAGTTTTCAAATATAGATTTATCATTTATATCTTCCTTTAAATCATTAACTAAAGCTTGATGTACATAAATTATTTTATTTGCTTTATCTCTCAATCCAATATCTTCTGAATCTTTTACGAAAAAAAAGGCATCTTTAGGAATAAATATTTTATCTAGAAAGAAAAAGCTATTTTTAAAATTTTCTCTAACTTGTTTTGTTAATTTAAGATGATTTATTTTATTTTTGATAATATTATATTTAGAGTTTTTGAACATTTTGTTTTTATGTGGATGTAATATATAAAAACATCCTTTATTTTCATCGTAATCTAAAGGATACGATTTTAATAAATGAAATAAATTTTCCAATATTTTCATTTTATTTTCAAAATTATCAAAATTTGATTTACTAAAATTTTGAAAGTTTTCACTTGTTACATATTCCATGAAATAATTTTTATTTATCTTTTCGTCTATTTTATCTTTTAACATCTCACAAAAATCTACAATACTTAGTTTTTGAAAGTATCTTGATTTTATATATAAATACCAAAAAATATCTTTTATTTTATTTAAGTGAATTAATTCATTAAAAGTTAAATCTATTATATTTAAACAACTCTCTACTTTATTTATGAATTCTAATGTTACTTCAGAATCTTTTTTTGAATTTTGTCCCAACAAATTATTATTTTTATTAATAGAGGAAACATTTTCTTTAATATTTTTTGTTAATTTTTTATTATTGTCATCATTTTTAAATTCATTTTCTTTATGAATCATTTTTTCATTTAAATTATAATTTTCCATCTTATATTTGTAATCATTTGAATTAGTTATATAATTTACATTCTTGTTAAATATTTTATCAACTATTTTTTCTTCATCTTTAGGTATATTTAATTCTTCAGGTCTTGAGTAATTTATATTTTCATTATCATTACACATTATGTAGTTTATAATTTTTTCATATACACCTTCCTTCAAAATAAATTCATTTATGTTGGTATTATTGTTTTTTATTTTTTTTACTTTTTTTAAAATTTTTAGTAATTCAATTATATGATTTTCAGATAAATCATTTTTAAAAATGATATTCCCTTTAGTAGCCATTTTTTTTTTTTTTTCGTTTTCTCTTAATTCACTATTATTTTGCATAGAAGAAACTCCATTATTTATATTATTAGCATTGATATTGTCATTGTTAATTTGTGCTTTGTTTTTTTTATGACTATTTTCAAAATTATGGTTATTTATACTATATGCACAATATGTTTTGTTAATATTTTGTAGTGAATTGAGTTCAATTTTTTTATTATTTGTATCTGTCTCAGCAAGCCTACATTTGTTATTTTCTAATTTACCTTCATCTAGTTTTGTTCTTTTTTCATTATTTTTTTGATCTATTTTTATTTTTTCAATACAAGAAAGAATGCTTTTATTTTCATTATTATCTTTTATTTCATATTCACATATTTCTTTTATCTCACTTTTATCATTTCCTTTTATTTTGACTTCATATTTTTCTTTTTTTTCATTTTCTCCATTTTCTCCTATTTCATTCTCATATGTTTTCTCTATTTTATTTTCACACTGTTTTATGTTTTTTCTGTTATATTTTAAATACACATCTTCATTTTTTGTTTTACTACATAACCTGACTAAATTGCTAATTTTATCATGTCTTTCCGTTTCACCAACGTAATTTACATTTTTTGATAGTGGTATTAAAATAACTTTATTATCTTTTTTATTAATGCTATTTAACTTGTTGCAAAATTTTAGATTCAATTTATTAGAATTATCTTTGCATATGTTTTCAGAGTTTGTTGATTGAAAACTTTTGTTTAAGGAAAAGTATTTGCAACTAAAAGATTTAACTATTTTTTTATCATGAACATCCTTTTTATTTTTATTTAGATGAAGAAAATTAATTTTTTCATTATTATTTTTATTAAAATTTGTATATTTGTTATCTAGAATGTTACTTAAACTAATGGTTTTTAAATGAATTAATTTTTCGTTGTTATTATTTATATTGTCATTAAAAGAATTATTATTATTAAATGTTTGATTAGAATTAACGTTTTGTTTTATAAATAAATTTTCTTTATGTATATCATTTAGACTATTTTTTTTTCTAATATAATTTTGTAATGTATTGTATCTATTATCTGTATTTTTACTACACGTTTCATATTTATTATTTTCAATAAAAGAAATAGGATTATTGAGATAAAAATTATCTTTATTTTTTAAATCATTTATGTTTTTATTATATATTTTATAATCAACTTTATTAAAAATATTTTTTTTTTCACAATTACTTGATCTAATAACATTAGAATAATCATCCATCTTCTGTTTTGTATTTAAAGAAAAAAATTTTGGAAATTTTATTGATGTATTCTCATATTCATTAGACAAAGTGTTTTCATTATTTTTTAATTTATATAAAGAATGATTATTGTAAATAAAATATTTCTGTCCATATTCTTTTTTACTATTTTCAGAATATAATTCAGAAAATTTTCTTATAGTGTAATTTTTTTTTTCACTAATATCTCTGTTCAACTTCATTGAGTTACTTTGTTTTATAAGGACATTTATTTTATTTTTTGCATATTTATTTTGTGTACTTACTTTTATTTTACTGTCTTTTATTATTGCTATATTGTTATTAAAGGAATTATTTAATTGAATATTTTTATTTATGCAATTTGCATTCATATTTTGACATATATGAGGTTTTGTATTTAAATTAATTAAATTTCCTGTGTTTTCGTTAATTAATTGTGTTTTAGAATTTATTTCTTTACATAAGAATTCATTTTCTTTTCTTATATTTTTATTTAGCAAGTAGATATTTTTATAAGAGTTATTTTGAATTATATTATTATTTTTATAATTCAAAATAGAGTCTTCTGATTTTACTTGTAATTTTGATTTATTACTTGTTTTCATTAAAAAATTTTCAGTATCTACATTTCCAATATAAATATAAGGTTCATTCATTTTCTCATGGTTATTAGTAATATTCTGCATATTTAATTTATTTTTTAAATACATCATCTTATATTTTATGGGATAATTTATTTTTATTCTGGAAAAGAAAAAATAATATTATATATATATATATATATATATATATATATATATATATATATATATATATATATATATATTTATTAATATTAATTCCTCATAAAAAAATGTTATATTCCTTAAAAGCTTAAAGGTAGTAAAAATAAGACAATATATATTAGTCTACATAATATTTGGAGTTACGGAGAATAAAATATTAGTAAAAGTATAAAAACATTATTATAAATTGTTATATTAACAAGAAAAAAGGTTATTTTTTATTAATAAATTTATGTAGTTTATTACTATAAAATATATATTTATATAACAAAATTATATATGTATATATATTATAAAAAATTAAAAATTCATATATATATTTTTAAGTTTCTTGTAACAACAAAGAAGAAAAAATTAATTAGATTTAAAAGAATTATTCTATTTATATTTATATGTTTTTTATATTGTTAAATAAAGTTTCTAATTTATAAAATGAATATGAAGTAGTTTTTATTTGAGTTTTCATAGTATTTATTACAAGCATATCCATTTTTTTTTTTTTAAATTTCATATATACAAAAGGAAAGCATAAAAGGTTTTTATATTTTGTACTTTTCCTTTTTTATTTATACTTCATTTTATTAATTATTATTAAAATAATATTATAAATACGAAACAAAAAAAAAAAAAAAAAAAAAATTAAAAATAGTGAAATAAACTTTTTCTACTTGACAACATGAGTGCACTGAAATGCATTTCTGGCTACCTAAATAAAAATTATTTTTTTTACTTTTATAGATTATGACAAGTTATTGTTGTCTTGAAATAAAATGAAATATATAAAAACCTATATATTTTAATTAAAATGGGGAATTATTAAAAAAAAAAAAAAAAATGAAAAATACGTTGTGTATTTTAAAAAAGCAAAAGATAAAAAGGAATTAATAGAATTATATAAGAAAAACTAAGAATACTATGTAACTTAGTTTTCATTAAGAAAGGATTTTTTTTTTTCTCTATTTTTTGGAATATCTATGCATAGAAGCAAAGAGGAAGTGATTTTCAAAAAATAAACTAAAAAATGTTATTGCTTTTCTAATATACCTTATACACATGTAAATATATAAACATTTCAACACTTTAGAATATTTAAAAATTTTGTTAAGTATTGTATAAATTAATTTACAATTATTTTTCCTTTCTATATGTAATTTTTTTAAATTACTTTTTTGTGTTGTAAGAAATCAAAACATATTTTTGTAATTATAAAAAGATTTAATCCATTTTTTGCCCACTAAGTTTAAAACATATATACCTTTATAATGCATAAGTTTATTTTATTTTTTATTTTTATAAATTCGAAAAACTAAAGCATATCTATATAAATAATAGATTAATATTTATAAATATGTATTTATTTTATCATTTTGGAAATATGATATACTTTGTAAATGAATTATATCTCATATATTCTATTTTGATTTCTCAAAAATTTTTTTATTATTAAAACTTTTAGTTCTTTTTACATTATTCCACAAAGCAATAAAATATATTTACTTCTATATATAAAAAGAAAACTTTTTTTTTTTTTTTAAAAATATTTATTTTTTATAATTAAATTCATATGTTTATATAATTATATAGTTTTTATTTAAGTCCTCCTCTTCAAAAAAAAAAAAAAAAAAAATAAAATAATAAATAAAACTTATATATATGAAAATTATTTTTTGATTGTGTGAAATATTTTTTAATGCATCTTATTAATCTTCTTCTTAATTTCTTTTTCTTTTTAGTTAAAATATTAAAGTATAAATTTATTTTTAAAATAAAAATCTTTATAAAATTACGAATCCGTTATAATAACCTCCACTTCAACTACTGGATCAATATTAATAGATGTCATTTGAGTAACTACTTCACATTGAGAATATAAATCAATGAGTCTTTTATAAATTCGTAATTCAAATCTATCCCATGTATTTGTTCCTTCTCCACAAGGTGATTTTCTTGTTGTTATTCTTAATGTTTTTACAGGTAATCTTACTGGACCTGATACATTTAAATTTTTTTCTTTAGCTCCTTTCATAATATCACTACAAACTGTCAAAATATAAAAATATATGTTTCATTAATAAATAAGAATTTAATATATAGATCTGTTTATTTTACATATATATTCTATTAAAATTTTTTAATATTCATAAGAATCTCATATTTATATAATATACATATATATATTTATATCGATTTTTCTACTTATTATAAATGTATTTTTTTCTTAAAGTATTTTTTTATAATTTCATTATATGTACAAATTTAATTGTATTTTTCATTTTAAAAAAATTATTTTTCTTAATTTACATGTGGTCATGTATATGTATATGAAATTAAAAATTTTGAAGAGGCTAAAATATATAAAATAGATATATTTTTTTTTTTCTCTTTTTTTTTTTTTTTTGAAAAATTATGTAATGCTTTTTTAGTTAAATTTAAAGAATTTAATTTACCTTTTTCTATAGCCCTTAAATTTTTTGAGGTTAAAGCAATACGAATACGACGAAGTCTATACTTCTCGGCATCAGTAGCTCCTTTCATTAATTTACTCATTTTGTTTCACTAAAAATTTGATAAGTATAAAAATAAAATATTTTATAAATAAAAATTTTTTTTAAATTTATTCCTTGTAGAAATTTTTATAATTTGTTATTTCAATAAAATATATTTCTTTTATTTGTTCTTTGGAACATTTTTGAAAAATGAAAAAATTATTTTTTAATAGCTCATTAATATGTAAAATTTATATGTAAAAAATATAAAGAAAAAAAAAAAATAATTATATATATGTAAAAAAATTTTTAAAAAAATAAGAAAAAAAAAAAATATTAATTAAATAGTGCTTAGGTTCTTTAAATATTGCATATATTATTATTTAATATAATGCGCATTTAACTGTTATTTTTATGTTTATAAAAAAATAACAAAATTATCAAAAAAAAAAAAAAAAATATTTAATTAAACCTTTTTTTTTTAATTATTTTAATAAATTCATTTGCTTATAATGAAAAATATGATTTTTAATTATAGTTTTTAAAGTATTTAATAAAAGGAATAAAAAATTAAATTCATATATTTTTTATTCATTTTTTTGCATACAAAGAAGAATGCTTATAAAAATGTACACCTATATCACCATATGCATTTTTAATTTTAAAATTAATTTATATGAAAATAATGAATGTTAAAAAGGAGAAAAACTAATATTAGTCATATTTATATTAATTATTCATTCCTCCTGTTTATTAAATAGTTATTTTTTTTTATTTTGCTTTAAAGTTAAATTGTAATCCTATAATTTTAAATTAAGTATCATAAGCAAGAATCATTCGCATTATCATGTATCAAAAGTTACAACCTGTTTTAGACTTAAATAATATTTTATATGTATACGAATATTATTTATAGTAATATAAAATAATTGAACTTTTTTTATTTTAAGAATTAAAAAATAAATCATTCTATTCATCTAAAAGAAAAGTAACACAAAATTTTAATATTCAATGAAATACCAATTTTGGGATAAAATAGAAAAGCATTTCAAAGAAATTACCATACCTATATACTTTTTTTTTTTTTAATTATATATTTTAATTTTTAATAACTAAATAAAGTTTTATAATTCAGAAATATAAAAATAGTTAAATTAAACATTTCAAGGAACATATGTATAAAAAAAAATTCTAAATTTTGTTTAAAATAAAAATTAAGGGTAATTTGTATATTTATGAAAAAATAAATACAAAACTAAAAATTTTTATAACTTTATATATATTTTATATTACAAATATAATTAAAGACTATTCAGTTAATCAATGTATTTAATAATTTACTGGAAATGCTAAAATATTTAAATTAATAAAACTTTGTTACTATAAAACTACTATTCATATGATAGAAAAAAACTGTGTGCCAAGGCGAAAAAAAAAAGATGAAAAATTCTAATATATAGCCACTTAAAAATAGAAAAAAGAAAAATAATAGTAATGATAATAATAATAATAATTTTTGTTCTTGTGCATTTTAAAAAGAATTCAAAAAATTGTATAGGTATATATGTAATTTAAAATTTTAATCATTCATAAAAAAAGGAAATTTTTCTTTTTTATTATATGTATATATTTAAAAAATTTTTGTAAGAGTATGAATTCATGCGACAAAAAATAGTTAAAATGTTTTTTTAGAGATTAGCATGAACCGTTATATATAAATTTATATGTACAGCCATTTTTTGTGTGCAAATTTTTTTTTTTTTAATTTACAGCTATATATATTATAACACAATGTCGTTTTTGTGTGTACATTTTAAATAAAGAGAAAAAAAAGGAATTAATTAAACTTAACATTTTTGAATTAAACATTTGAACATTATATATTATCCCTAATTTCTGCACAACAAATAATTATAAAATACCAAGATTGCACTTATTTAACCTGAAAAGAAAAGTTAGGTAAATAAATTTACATTAATTGTTGATGATGACCATTGTGTCGCTAAGCTATTTTTTTTTTTTTTAAGGAGTAATAATAACACTTGCAGATAAAAAAAAAAAATAATACGCAAAAATAAAATATTAAGTTAAAAATTTATTATATGACCATAAACTATATTTTTAATTTGTTTTTTTTTTTTTTTTCTGTTTTTATAACTTTAAAAACATTACACAAAGTTCTTTATTTTTCTTCTATTTTTATGTTTCACTAAGTTTGTATTTTTTTTTTTTTTTATTTGTTTTCTTTTGTTTTTTATTTTTATATCTAAATATAAAAACTTATGATTATTAAAAATATAAACTTAACTTTTGATTACTCATAAATATTAATAATTTTTAGTCATTATTTTTATGATTGTTATATTTTTACTTGTAAAAACTTAAATTTATTTTTAATTTAAATAAAATGGAAGGTACAAACAAAAACTTAAATGCTTATCAAAAAGCAGATAACATAGAGCCAAAAGAGACATCAACTGTAGATCGTAAATGGGTTGCTCTTACAGCTTATCAACCTGTTGATGTTGTTACAAAAACTGTAGAAGTTCCAGTTATTAAAACTGTAGAAAAAATTGTTCCAAGAACAATTCTTCAAGAGAAAATTGTTCATGTTCCTAAAAGTGTCACACATGTTGTTGAGAAAATAGTGGAAGTTCCTGAAGTTAAATATATTGAAAAAATAGTTGAAGTACCTCATATTCATTATAAAAATAAATATGTTCCAAAAATTGAAGTAGTTGAAAAAATAATTGAGCGTCAAAAAATAATTGAAAAATGGCATGACAAAATTGTTGAAGTACCACAAATCAAGGAAGTTGTCAGATTCAAACAGATTGAAGATGCAGAAGAAATAATAAAATATATCCCTAAAAATTCTGGAAACATTGACTGGGAAGCTGAATATAGGAAATATATGCAGAGAAAAGAACTAGCAGGTTATAATGTAAATAACACAGCTACATATCAACAAAAAATTAACTCGTATAATGATTATAATGAAAACGCTTACACTCAAAATGCATATGATAGAACCTATGAATATATGAACAATCAAACAAGCTTAAATGAACCAACAGATTATAGTCGTGAGGCATATTCACAAGGTAATCTCTATAATCAATACAGTCGAGTAAATTATGAGCAAGAAAAAAGTATTCCTAGATCAAATTTTGACTTAAGTGGAAGCATGCAAATAAAAAGAATGCCATCTGAAGATACCAAACCCGTTGGATGTTGTGCTGGTGCATGCTCATAAATTTCCCATATTATTAAATTGTAAATTTAGCTTTGTACAATTTTAACATGTCGAATTAAATAATTAAAGTATACACATATATGTATATGTATATATATATATATATGTTTGTGTGCATCTATTTATTTATTATATTTTTAACTATTTTCATTTATTAAAAAAATATAGTATAAAATAATAAATTCATAAAATTTTTTTTTTTTTTTTTTTTTTTTTTTTATCCAATAATCTTTTTTTATTTGTTTTTTGTTTTAAAATCAAAAATTCCATTAATTACTGTAATTGTAATAATGCATGAATAAAAACATGTTAACCTTTTTATATTTAACGTTTTAAGCAAATATTTTAATTTATTTTTTCGTCTTTATTTCTATTTTTCTTTTATACTATATGTATTTTTAACTATACGGAAAAAAAAAAAAAATTAAACAAAATAAGGTGGAACAAATAAACAGCGTTATAGAAACAAGCATAAATTTATTTAAAATATAATAGTTCTTTTTTTCCTTCTTTATGTCTCTCCTTTTGTCGATGTAATTTTAAATAAAAATTATATTCTAATCATATAATACTGTTATTTTTTCTGTATAAAACGCATACGAATAATTCTAATTATTTAATGATAGAATTATGTGAATACAAATAAAAAAATTATTTGCTTAAAACATTTTTAAATAAATTAAAGTAATTTTTTTATTTTAATTTTGTAATAAATGGTAAACTATAACATTAATATCAAATTTGTTTTAAAATTTTGCATAAGTAGGATATATACATGAATACATTTTAAATTGACAAAAAAAAAAAAAAAAAAAAAGAAAAAAAAAAAATACTCAAAATACTTCAAATATACATGTTTTATTTCATTTATTATTATTTTTTATAAAATTCACAAATTTCACTCACGTCTTTTAAATTATTATATAAATCAAAATAAATTACTAATATGCAAAAAAAATTAAACATAATTTTAATTAAAAAAAATTATTATTTGTAAAAACTGTTTAAAAGTTATGTCTACTTTTTTTCATATTATCCGTTATATGAGGAACATATATTTATATAAGTTGGTGTTTTATGAAGTCCTATATAGTGTATTTTTTTCTCTAAAAACTTATCTGCAGCTTTTAGATCTGAAACTAAATCATACACATTTGTATGTTTCTCTAATTGCGTAATTAAACTTAAGTGGTCTCTCCATGTATTTATTGCATTACATAAATCAATTACTGGATCTAAAAAACTAGGAAAATTTTTTCTTAATGCTTTTTCAAATTCATTAAAATTATTTGATAAAGTATCTTGATCATTTTCATCACAGCTATAATGGTCCTTTTCGTTATCCCTATTTTCATTATTATCACAATTATTTAAATTTTCACTATATTCTTTAATTTCCATTCTATTATTATCATAATGATTATTTAAATTATCGATAGAATCACTTTTATTATTTTTACTTTTAAAAGAATTCTTCTCACAAGAGTTTTCTAGGCCATTTTTCTTATTTTTGATATCATTCGTATTTATTTCCTCCATAATTTTTGTATCGTTTTCTATAAATTTCTTATCTTCTGTCATAAGGTTTTGATCAATGCTTTTAATTTTATTTACACATTTATTTTCATTTTCATTAAATGGGTCCTCATTATCGACTGTATTAATGCGATTTTCATTTAAGTTATTAAAACTATCATTGTTACTCAATTTATTTTTTACTTCCATTTTATTTAAATCACAATTATGCTCATGATGTTTTTCATTTACATTGTATAAATCAGGATTATTCTTTTTTTGTTCAGTAGTATTGTTATTATTGTTATAGGTATCATTATTATTATTATTATTAATTTCATTTAAATTTACTGTTTTATCATGGCTTGCAGTTGGTGAGGACTTTTTTTTTTTTAAATCATCAAAGTTAAACAGTAAAAAAAATTTTGTTAAAACACCCATAAGGTGATGTGTTACAAAAAATCCTGAAATATTAGTATCAAAAGGGTTATATAAATTATCAGGTAATATGTGTATTAATTCCATATTACTTATAAGAACATTAGCAACACAAGCTTGAAGTAATTGTCTCAAGGTTTTCTTAATTATTTTTACAACAGAAAAAAAAGCACACAAATCAAAATCAATTAATCCATCATATGTTTTATGTTGATCAATATTAGCATTATATAAAGAATATATTCGTGACAACAAAAGAACACTTTTTTTATCTTGTGGATCTAAATTTTTGTTATTCATAACTGATGAATAAGCATTTTTAGGGTAAGATTTACCATTTGGTGGTAATAATGGTTGAGTTGTTAAAAAACCAAATTTAAGTAATTCAAAAATAATTAAAATATTATTATCTATATCTTTGTTTTTAACTTCTGATAATAAAAGTCCAAATAAAGTAACACCACAATTTTTCGTGAATATGCCTAAATTTTCAAGAAACATAAAATAAACTAAACATAAAAAACTATTAAAATTTTGATTATTTGCATTTAAAAGATTTTTATAATATAAATTATATTTTTTTATTTTTTTATCAGAGGTATTAATATTTTTATTATTTTCTCTATTTTCTAAATCATCTGATTCGTTTAAGTTGGTATTATTAGAGGATTTTTCTCCTTTATCATTTAAAACATTTTTATCATCTGATATTTCTTTTGATTTATGAACAAGAGATATATTGTTACTTTCAGAATGTAAGTGCCATCTTAATGTAAACTGTAAATCAATTTTATTGTTATTTTGTCTTTTTATTTCTTCATTTACGTTATCCTTATTTATCTTCCATAAGAACCCATCTACAAAATTAATATCCAAAAATGTCCATTTGTTATTTTTATCCAATATATTATTAATATAATATCCATAATCAAAAAATTTTATTTTCCTTTTGTAAAAGAAAGGATTTAATTTCGTCGAAATCAATCCTAATATTCTACACCTATATTCTCTTAAGTCTATTAATGAATCTCTATATTCATATGAATCAATAATTGGATGAGAATAATCAATCCATTCTCCTAAAGCTAAAACACAAAGCAATTTTTTACTTATAAGACCAACTGACATCAAATAATAAACACATGTTGGAAATTTAGCTCCTACTACTTTTATATAATCATATGGTGCTAAATTATAGATATTTGCTTTATTAAAATTTATGCTTTTGTTATTACATAAAGTATCATTATTGTTATTTTCTTTATAAGTATTTGTGATTATATTCCCATTTTTATTATTTAGATCTGTGTTATTATTTTTCTCTTCATCATGGTTATTATTACCGTTAAATACTAAACCATTTTTATCTGTTAAATTATTGTCAGTTGATTTGTTATCTTTTATGTTAGAATTATATTCATTATCGCTTGTATTTTTTAAATCATAATTACTATAATTATGATTTTCATCAATATTTGAACAGTGTATATTTCTTTTTTTATTTGGATTAGCTTCCTCATCATTATTCACATTATTTTTTTCTATGCCATTTAAATTATGAGAGTTAGTTGTACTATCACAATTTAAAGTGCTATTATTTTTTTGTTTTTCTGAATTATCATCTGTTGATTGTGTATTGTTATTAATAGAAATATCAGAGTTATGTACATAATTTTTTAAAGAATTTTCTATATTCAAGTTGGTAGTACTTACATTGGATATTTTTTTATTTTTCTCATTTGCATCTTTTTTACTTTTATTATTATTATTATCTGTAATTTTATTACTTTCTTTATTATTACCATTTAATAACAAGTTATCATTTTTCAATTTCATATTAATCCAATTTTTATCTGGAGTAAAGAAATCAACCTCTCCATTGCATAATAAAACAACTGGAAATTTTATGAGGGTTTTACAAACACAATATCCATCAATATGATTATTTCTTAATTCTTCGTTTGGAAAATGTTGCAAATAACTTATTAAAGGTGACTGTTTGATAAATTCAATAGAAGTTCCAAAATTAAAATGAGGATTCCCATGATTAAAATGAGATAGATTTAAGTATGGAAAAGTTAAGCAGTATTCTGTACCTGCTAATAAGCAGGCATCAATAAATTGTTCTTTATTTATATTCCACGTTTTTAATAAATGATATAAATCTATCCACTCAAAATAATTTTTTTTCCAAACAAAATTTAAAATTACTTTTTGAATATTTTGTAAAACCATAGTAGGTGGACCCAAAACTATATCAATTATATTTATTTCTAAAAAATATGACAATTGAGAAATTGCCAAATATGGGGCATATATGCATTTATAACCCTTACTCTTTAAATAATGAAATATTAAAAATGTAAAATCTGAGTTACATATATTTGATACTTGCGAAAAATTTTTATAAGATAACTTTTTTTCATCATTAACGTAATAAAACCATCCTTGATCCATGTTTTGATGATATTTTGCTGAAAATAGTTTATGAGCCTTCGGAGTAATGCCATCAAATACGAATATCACATTAATATTTAATTTTTCAAAATATTCACATTGTTTATCTATTAAATGAAAAATACAAGGTGAAATACATCCAGATACGTCACTTAAAATATCTTTTAGATCATTAGATGTTCTTAAAAAATATATTGCATCTATTCCTAATGTCAAATTTCTAATATTGTCCAATGGACTTTTTTTTAATAAATTATGTTCAGTTAAATACGTTTGCAAACGTCTTACTCTCATTTTAATCTTAATATAAATATTTCTTTTCTTATTTCTATTATTTCTCTTTTTCTTTTATTTTATCTATTTTTTCTTTTTTATTATTATTTTTATTATTATTTTTAGTTTTATTTTTTTTTTTATTTATTTTCTAAATATTTTTTTTTTATAGACTACTATTAATTATGAGTATTTAGCTACTATTCATTAGGGTATTATAATAATTCCTATAAAAATGTTGTAATATATCAAAACAATTATAATTTTTTATTGTTCTATTTTTAGAAATCTTAAGCTTTATAAAAACATATATAAAAAGTAAAATTAAATTATAATAATAAAGAATTATCCAATTTTACATAATAAATTACTATCATATAAAAAAAAAAAAAAAAAAAAAAAAAAAAAATTATTATAAATTTATTATTTGAAATTAGTTACTTGTATCATTTAAAAAAAAAAAGAGTACTTTTATGATAACTAAACAATATCTAGAATTCACAAATGATGATTTTATGATATACTACAACATATTTATAAAAAAAAAAATGTTCAATGATTATTTTAATTTACATATATATATATATATATATATATGTATATATGTTAAAATTAAAACAATATATAAATTTACTAATACAGAAATTAATTTTTGAAAACTAATACAATATTCAAAAATGTATTGGCAATGATTATTTCTAGAATAATTCAAAATACTATAAAAAATATATTTCTTTTTAAAAATTCATATTTGCAAACGTATTGTAATAAAAATATTTCTTCTTTTTATTTATATTATATAAATATGTAATAAATTTATATCAATTAAAATATATATATATATTTTTTCTCATCTCTAATTAATATTAAACAGAATAAATGAAAATGCTACATAATAATTTAATCCAACCAAAAAAAAAAAAAAAAAAAATTAAAAAAAAAAAAAAAAAGAAATTAAAATAAAAAAAAATAAAACCTGAAATGAATATAGATATAAATTTTATATAAAACAAAAATTAGTAATATTATAAACAATATACCTTAATAATAATTAAAATAGGATAAATAAAAGATCCTTAAATATGTTAATTAAAAAAAAAAAAAAAAAAAATTACACAATAGTATAAAATAAATATAATAAAATTTTAATTTTTAATTAATTCTTATAATCATATTTTAGATATTTACATAATATTCAATAATAATATACACATATATATTTAATTATATCTATATATATATATATATATATATAATACTAATTTTTTTATTGTATCATTATTCTATAAACTATTAAGTACATGTTTCATTTATTCTTATTTGTTCTAAATTTTATTACATTTCTATTTTTTTCTAATAAAATATGTTCTTATAAAAAAAATAAAAATATCAACATAATTTACTTTTTGTCTTCGGCCACAAAAAATGTATTTTAGTTTGAAGAATAATATATTATTCAATACTCTAAAAAAAAAAAAAATAGGAAATTATAATAACATAAAACGCACAAAAAAAAAAAAAAAAATTATATATAAAGTTAAACAGAAAATGCATAAAAAAAAAATTTTATCTATTAATATATCTATAAAAAATGGATATAAGAATTAATTTAAAAATATAAATATTTAAAATAAGATAAAAAAAAACATCATATATTTTTTGTTATTTTCAGATATATTTTAATGAAAAAATTTTCATTAATAAAAAAATAAAAAATTCTGAATCATTAAAATCCCCAAAAAAAAAAAAAAAATTGTGCCAGGAAAACTTTAAAAACTTCAATTTTTTAATAAGAATAAAATAAAATTATAAATAACATAATTCAATAAACAGTATTAATTTTACATAAAAATGAAATACTTTTTATACACACGTATACATTTATATTTTATTTTGTATTAAAAAAGTAAAAAGGATATCTTTTTTATAATCAAAGAAAATTATAGATCTTTCAATGTATTTTTACATGCATTTTTTTTTTTTTTTTTTCCTTATTGTATTATTTTTTTTTTTTTTTTTGTAACTACCAGTATTGTAGGATATATATTTCTTTTTTTAATAATATGAAAATATTATATTTTTAACTTTTCATTTAAATAATTTTGTTATTCATCCATTAAAAAAATAATTTAATCCTACTACTATTTTTTTTTTTTCTTTTTTTTTGTTTTTTTAATTAACTATTAAAGCTACTGGTCATTTACTTTTATAGGAAAAACATGCACATATGCATACTTACTTATAAGGACAATATTTTACTTATTTTAAATTTCAAGTTGGAAGAATACATATATTATCTTTAATATAAAATTAAGTTGAAAAAAGAAAAAGGAAAAATATGTGTATATAAAATTTTAATTTTAAAAATAAAAGTATGAAAACAAAATTTGTAGCTATTTTAAATAATATTTTTACTATTTTACTACATGGAAAGTGTGCAATAAAACATACAATTTTTTCTCTTCCTTTTTCTTTTTTTTTTTCACTTAAAATTTAAAATACTGATATAAACTTAAAATTAAATTAATAATAAATGTGTAATTTTAAAAAAAAGAATCCATTAAAGATACCTTTACATTAAGTATAATAAGAATTCTTAATAAAAAAAAAGTATATTTAATTTTTCACAAAAATAAATTGTAATTAAATGTAAAAAAAAAAAAAAAAAGGGTGTTTTATAGATAAAAGGACGAAATTGTTTTAAAAAGTATAGAAAAAGAAAAATTAAAGAAAAATAAAATTATTTTTAAAAATAGTGAAAAACATATATATTACTTTCATAAATGCCTTTTTTGATCATAAAAAAGGAAAAAAAGAATAAATCGTTAAAAATGCATATATGATTAAAACTGTAATATTTACTTTTTTTTTTTTTTTTTTAAAAATATTCCGAAAATTCGTCTTTTATATTTAATAACATTGGATCATCAAAAAATCTATTAATAGTTACATCTTCCGTTAACCCTTTTCTTCTCCTTGTTTTTAATAAAAATTCCCTTGCTAAATGTTGAATTGGAGCTGGTTCTAATGGTCTTAATATAACAGATTTATCTAATGGATCTCCTGGAACAATATGCCAGTGATCAAACATACTTAAACAAAAAGCTTGACCACTCGTATGAGTTCTTAAGTCAGTTTCAAAACCAAAAGATTCAATTGCAGGTATATATGCATGAACCATATATAATGGTGTACCTACCTTAGGAAAATCTTTTAATATATGACCTCTTCTTCTTGATAAAACATTATAAACAGAAGAAACTGAATCACCTGAGCATATAATTTCAGTAAATAAAATAGGTTCTAATAATCTTGGAGTAGCTAATAAAAAAGAAGAATAAATAGCTCTTCTTGTAGTAGGAATTATTTGTCCTGCTCCTCTATTAATGGGATCATTATCTATATCTCCTCTTAATATTTTTATTTTTACATTCTTCATACTTTCTTCAATTAATGGACCCTCTTTAGTTGCCCAACAAAAGCCTTGAATTATATTATCTTTAATGGAATATAAATTTTCTTTATTTGTTTCTTTATATAAGGAATCATCTACTAATATATTGGGGCTATTATTTTCTGGTCCAAATGACCAAATAGATCTTATAGATAATAAATCCCAATTATATTTGCTACTTAATAAAGATACTACTCCTTCATCTATATCATAGTTTAATGTATTTTTCTTTTTTTCTATTCCTACATCATTTTTTTTCTGTTCTTTTTCTATATCCTTTTCTTCAGTAAAAATATCTCCATTTCGTATTTCACTATTTTTTTGTATTGTAGTATCATCTTTTTTCCTATTATTATTTGTGCCTAATAAATTATCAACAGTATTCAAATACTCATCTATATTAACATTTTCGTTTTTATTTAAATGAACTAAACCTTGAACTATATCATCCATTAAATCTTTTTGTAAAGGTTCAGCTATCATATATATTTTGTTCTTTTTATTTGGAGTTTCAGCAAAGCAATTCAGAGCTGAAGTTTCAATTATAGTTTCATTAAATTGTACTACTGGATCTGAAACTTTAATTTCTAAATCCCCATATAACTTACGTAAATCATGTAAAATACAATCTAAATATAATTCTCCTGTTCCCAAAATTACATGTTCTCCAGATTCCTCTACTTTTGTATTAGATAAAGGATAAGATTTATCAATTTTTCTTAATCCATCTAACATTTTTGGTAATTCAGATGGATTTATTGGTTCACATGCTACTTTAAAAACAGAATTTGCACAATTTATATATTTAAATTTTTTATGAAGAGGATAAAATATTTCTGCCTCTTCCTCTTCATCAAATAAAATAACCTTTTCAACATTTTTCATATTATTATCATTGTCTAATATCATTTTATCTGAAGCAGGTTTTTTTTTTTTCTTTTTTACATTTGTTATAGTACATGTCTTATTTATACAAATATCAATGCCACCTATTAAAACAAAATTTCCTGCTGGAACTTCATCTACTTCTACTCTATATCTTCCTTCATAAACCCATAAATTTGTTACTACTCTAGTAATCATATCTTCATCATCATTCAAACTATATCCCTCTCCTAGTATACGAACAGTTTGACCTTTTCTTATTGTACCACACATAACTCTTCCAAATAAATCTATCATCAAACACTCAGGTCTATGGTAGTTTTTAATAATATATATCATTAAATTATCTGTTTGATCTCCTTTTAGGCATCTCATCATGTCATAACATATTTTTGTTTTTAAGGATCCTGAATATATTTGCATGATTTTATTTTTTGCATTTTCAATTGGAGATGGGCAATTATCTATGATCACATCTACAAATGCCGTTGTATCTTCAAATATCATACCATTAATTTTTTTTAATAAATATTTATTACTATATAAATAATCACTCTTTTTTAAAGATATATTCATATTTTTTAAAAACGGAATTAAAAATTCTTTTTCTTCTGAACATACATAACCAAATATTTTATAAATTGGATTCAATATAAATTCAACAAAGGATCTTTTCTGATTTGCATAAAGAGGAGAAGAAGTAAACGAAAAATCTTTTTCATTATAATATATATCTCCCCATAAATATTGAGAAAATTCATCTATATCAATATTATATGCATTGTATAAATTACAATAAATTTTACTAAAAGACTTCAATGTGAAAAATATTCCATATATACTAGAACTAAATAAAACATTATTTTTCAATGGAGATAACAAGAAACTCTTTTTTTCTTTTTTACTTTTATTTAGTAAATCACAAATAGATTCTATTTTCATATTTATTTCTTCAATTGTATAATTTATTTTATGATATGCATCATTAGGTGGTAGACGTAAATCCATTATTAATTTATCTATACAATTTATAATTAATATCATTTTTATATTTTCGTAGATGCAACTTTTTATTATATTTTCTGTCACATACATACAACCATCTATAACATCAACTACTAAACAACAACATTCACAAATATTTAAGGAACATAAAAATTCATCAAAGAAATTTACATGACCTGGAGTGTCTATTATATTAAAAATGTAAGATTTATACTTTAAGTTTTCTTCTTTTTTATTTATCAAAATGTTATTTGGTATATTTTCATAAACTTTATTTTGAAAAATTAAGGATATTGGAATTGCTTTAATAGATAGACCTCTAGCTTGCTCATCTAATCTTGTATCAGTATAATTCATTAAATGATCAATTTTTTTGCTATTATATGGTGTTATAACATTTTCTAATACATCTTTTTTTTTTATTATGTATTCATTTTCTGCATTTATACTAAAAAAACTAACAGTACTACTATTTTTATTATTGGAGTTATATATTTTTGTTTTGTTTTTTTTATCCCTTGTATATTCAATTAATCTATCTACTAGTGTAGTTTTTCCATGATGAAAATGACCTGCTATACATATATTTCTTATAAATTGTGTTTGTGGCATTAATTCATATAAAAATTTAAAACTAAAGGAATTATTTGGTAAATTTGTTTCTACTAAATCAAAATTTTTTCTATTTGCTTCTACATCTAACTTTTTAATAAAACTTATTCGTTCTACGTTCGCATTTATTTTATTTATAGTTGCTTCTTCTATATCTTGTGTATCTTCTTCTTCTACAAAAACTTCTACTCCATCATAAACTTTTTGTAATTCATCTAAATTTTCGTTTAAACTCTTTTTTGTTTTTTCTTTTTTAATTAAATTTGTATCATATTCTTCTTCTTCTTCTTCCTCTTCTTCTTCTTCTTCTTTCTCATCTTCTTTGTCCTCCTCGCTTTCTAATTTATCATCATCTTCATCATCATCATCATCATATTTTTCTTCATTTTCATTATCTTCTGAGCTTTCTTCATCACTATCAATATCTTCACCTATATAATTACCAAATTCATCATATAAATTATTCTTAGATTCCATTATTGTTTTATCTTATAATTAAAAAAAACAAAAAAATTAATATTTTTTTATAAAATAATTTTTTTATTCATAAATTTTATTTCCTTACTTTTTTTATTATTTTATTTTTTATTTTATTTTATTTTTTTTTTTTTTTTTTTGTTATACAATTGAAAGTACTATTTTAAAATTTTTAATACATTTATGATTATGTTTTAATAATTTATTATATTAGTTATGCTTCATTTACTTCACCTGATTAATTTTCTATATTATATTTATTTTTTCTATTTTTTTTATTTTTATTATTTAACACGTATATTTTTATTTCTATTTTTTAGTTTATCATTTTTATTTTGTTCTATTATCATTCCAATATTTTTTTTTTTTTTTTAAGTTATCATTATTTTTATATATATTCATTTAATTTTATCAATGGGGTATAATTCATTTTTATAATTTTTTATTTAATTCAATTTAATATATTTAAACATAATTTTAATTTTTTTTTTATACATTTTTTTTTATTATAAAGTATTATCTCTTTTTTTTTTTTTTTTTTTTTTTTTTTTTTTTTTTTTTATTTTTTTTTTTTTTTTTTTTTTTTTTTTTTTTTTTTTTTTTTTTTTTTTTTTTTTTTTTTTTTTTTAATTATTTTTTTTTTTTTTTTTTTTTTTTTTTTTTTTTTTTTTTTTTTTTTTTTTTTTTTTTTTTTTTTTTTATTTTATTTTTTTTTTTTTTTTTTTTTTTTTTTTTTTTTTTTTTTTTTTTTTTTTTAGTTATTTTTACTATACTTTTGTAATTTTTTTTTGTTCTACATAAATAAATATATATGTAAAATTTGTAATAACTTTTTATAAAGTTAAAAGAAATATTAAGACTTTAGTTTTAATAAAATATAAACTTTTATCTATTTTTATTAAAGACTATATATATTAAATATGTAATATTTTTATAAATTTTATCTTTTTTTCTATGAATTATATATATTTAATTTTTATAAACATTTTATTTTTAGGTAACCAATAATTTAAATAATTACTTTTATTTTTTTTTATTAAAATTCATTAAATGATATTTTTTTTAATATATTTTTTTAGTATTTATAAATTTTGAATATCATTAAAAATTGAAAGGAGAAAAATATTATATTATTCTTCTGTGAAATTAATTTCTCATATTCATTTTGTATTTTCCTTTTTTTATCATTCTTAATTATTTGTAATGTATTTTTATTTAAAAATCATAAATTATTATACTCATAATATTAATAAATTCTGTGTAAAATCAATTTATATATATATATATATATATAATATAAATACATCTTTAGATTTAATATAGGTATTACTATACTCTTAGAATTATATAATATTTTTTATTAAAATATATTCTCCATATATTATCCTATATTATAAATAAATATAGAACTTTAAAGAAAAATTTAGTGATACTCTTAAAAATATTTCATTAGAATCTTGCAATTTTTTAAATTCTTATCTTAATGGTTCTTTATACTTTTTTTTTTTTTTTTTTTTTTATCCAAATGTTATATAAAAGTTTTATAATTTTTTAACTTATAATTTTTTATTAAATATAATAGGTTTCTTACTAAAGTTAATAATGTATTCTATTATAGATTTTATTTTTAGTAGTTTATAATAGTATTACTTTAAAAAAAAAATTTAGACACAAACTTTCTCTTTAAAAAAACAATATAAAATTTATAATTAGAAAGATATTAAGATAAATAAATTGTTAGAAAAATATATGTAAAATTAAAGAGAAAAAAAAAATATACAAAAAATAAAAATATATATAATAAAAAAATATAGAAAAATTATAAATGATAAATAATATAAAAATATAAAAAATTTAAAAGGAAAAATATATATATATATATACATATAGAACTAAAATAAAAACAAATTTAATAATAAAAATATGTAATATGGGAAAAAAAAAAAAAAAAAAAAAAAATAGATAAAATAGATAAAATAAAATATAGTATTTAAATTAAAATACAATTAAAAAGCTATTTTTAAACTCTTGATTACATCTGAATCTATCATAAATATTAAAAATGAGATTAAATGAGAATATTACACATTCTTTAAATCTAAAAAAAATGAGAAATGATTTTATAAAAAGTATCATGAGAGACGATGAGTATAAAAAAAAGGATGATAAAAAAAAGGAGATAGTTAAATCATGCAAAAGTTATAAAGATTTTTGCAATATAGTTGATTCTGTAAATATGAAACCTATTAGAAAATATGAAGAAAAAGTTTCCTATGAAGACTATATAAATTTAAACATTTGTCCTTTTAATTCTAAAAGTGAATATCTTCAAGAAAAAAAGAGAAGAAATAATTTAAATTTTATGATTACTCAATTTAAAATTAATAATAAAAAGGAAAAATTTGATTCTTTAATTGATAAAAGCCACACAAAATCCAGTGAAATAAAACAATTTTTGTATAATATTCTTTTGTTTAAATATTTATCCTTTTTACATTTTAATTATTATTTTGTTATATTATTAAATTGGTGTATAATCATTTTTCTCACTCTCAATATATGTCTTTTTTTTTTTTTTTTTCCTTCTTTTAAAAATATTCAATTTATATAAGTTATCATATTTCAAAATATTTTTTTTAAACATCCTTTTATATTTACAAAATTAATCTTACATTTTCTTTATTTTTTTTTTAGGAATATACTAAAAATTAATAAAGATAATTATTATGGTTTTATTAAGTCTAATTGCAATTGTGATGATATAAAATATTTTATATATATTATAAAAAATAACCTGAATGTTTTATTAGAAGATAACAATTCTAATGAAGAAAACAATATATTAGATGATGAAAATAGAAAAGAAGATTATAACTTCAATTTATTAAATACAATTAACTTCCTTTTTTATTTATCTAAGCATTGGAGTAACGAAAATTTCTCTATGTTTTTTATTGAAGATGAGTTAAGTGATATCAGTTTAAATATAAATACCATTATTGATGAAATAAAAAAAAAAAGCAATAAACATGATAAATTAATAGAAAAGTTTAATTATATAAAAAATATTTTTTCTAAATAAAAAAAAAAAAAATTTAAATATTTTTTATATATTATTTATATATATTATTTATATACAAAAATTGAAGTTTTAAAAAAAGTAAAAATGCAAATGTAAATAAAAAAAAAAATTTAGTTCATAAAAGTTTAACCTATTAATGTTTTATTATATTTATTTTTTTTTTTAAATTGTATATTTTAATATAATCAATATTTTTGACTTTATTTAATTATACTAAAGTTTATTTTAAAGTTCTTTATTTATTTATTACATTAGAAAATTAATTTTATATTATTTATTCAATTTTTTTTTTTTTTTTTTTTTTTTAATTATCAATTTATCATTTCGAAAATTAAAATAAAAAAAATAAAAGTAAAAACACAAATATATTATGCATAACCAAAATTTTCTAATACTTGACGTTGTTCTGGGTTAATTAAACTTAATGCTTTTGTTTTTAATTCTTTTTTTTCATTCAAGCTATTAACTTTTTTTTTATAAAATGTTTTTGATACCTTTTTTCTTAATGCTTCATTTTTTTTAACTAAATCATCATAATTCCATCCCACTCTTGAACTCAATGTTCCTAATCTACAATATCGTCTATTTTTTTTTAATCTAAATGCTCTTAATGCACTTGGTAAAACATATTTTTTCATTTTATCATAAGGATATGGTACACCAACAAAAACTTTTAATTTTTTTAATGCAATTTTTCCTTTAAATGTTTTATGTGGTAACATTCCTCTAACACATCTCCATAAAATTTTTGATGGTTCTCTTAAATGAAAAGGTCCTTTTCTTGGATTAGTGTTTGTTCTTAATCTCAAAAATTTTGAATACTTCAATTTATTTCTATATAAACTACCTGATATATTTATTTCTTCACATCGAACTGCTACTACTCTCTGTCCTTTTAATAATTCTTTTGCTATTATGGAAGCTAATCTCCCTAACAAATGACCTTTGCAATCTATTACATATACCTTCAGTAAAAAAAAAAAAAAAAAAAAAAAAAAAAAATTATAATTTTATATAAACTCTTATATAATTAAATATAATTTTTCTTTTTTATAATTTATTTATTTTACATATATATATATATATATATAATACTTCTTTTTAAATATGTATTCATATAAATGTATTTTTTTTAAATATTATAAATATATAAGTATTATTCTTTTTTTATATATAGGAATCATATTTTATTTTCAAAATTATACAAAAAAGGTATATAAACATTGTTTTTTTTTCTTTTTTTTTTTTTTTAATAAAAAATTATATAGAAGTATTTTACCTTTTTAAACATCTTTTATAAATGTATCTAAGTAAAAATAATTTTTATTATCTTTTTATAAAAAATATTCATAAAACAAAAATTCAAGATTTCTCTTAAAATTTAATAGTATACAAAAAAAAAAAAAAAAAAAAAATTTAAATAAAAATATAAAGTGAAAAAATAAAAATGTATTTAAAATAGAATAAAATAATACAAAATAAAATTAAAAAAGAGATATGAAAAATATGAATTATAAAATCTTATAAATTATTTTTTCACTGATCAAATTAAAAATAATTCAAGTAAAAAATTAAAATTTATACAATTATTTTTATCATATATATGAAATTATTTTATTATATAAAGCACTATATGAACATAATTAGTAAAAAAAAAAAAAATCTATATATATATATATATATTATGTAAATAAATTTTAAAAAACATTCTTCATTTTTACAATATTTAAAAAAAAAAATTTTCTCATACATATATTTCATTAAACACAATTTTTTTTTTTTTTTTTTTTTTTTTATACACTTTTTTTGAAGATCTTTATTTTTTTTTTTTTTCAAATTTAATCTACAAAAAATTTTTAAAAAAAAAAATATCCTTTAAATTTAAATATTTCTTTTAATAAAATTTTAATATATTAAAAAAAAAAAATAAAATAAAGAGAATATTAAGAAAAAGAAAAATAATATATTTTTGCAATTATATATGTTATTCTTGTAGTATTTTTATATTATAGAATTTGATACTTCACCACTTAACTCTCTCCATAATTCCTCACCCCTTAAGAAAATAAAAATTAATTTTGAAATATAGATAAGAAGCACATCTATATTATATTTTGTTTTAGATTGAAAATGTCATTTTTTTTTATATATTTTTATAAATGTTTTTATAATAAAATTTTTTTTTTGTTCAATATCTAATGTTAATATTATTCAAGTTGTTAAAATATAACACATTATCACTAATAATGTATTTTAATGATAAAGACATCTATATATGAACTTCAACTTACTTTTATTATTTTTTTTTTTTTTGTTATGTTGATACTTAAAAAAAATACACAAAACAAATTAAAATTAATAATTAATAATTATAAATGTGATTTCTTATTTGCAATTGTAATATTTTTCTTTTTTTTTTTTTTTTTCATAATTAATATATTATTTTCAAATTACTATTTAGTAATTAGTAATTTAAATTTATTCCGAAATAAAATATAAAATTAATGATTACAATTTTTTGTACAAAATACCTTTTTTATTATATTCAATTATCTTTATTTATATTTTAATTAAAAAAAAAAAAAAAAAAAAAAAAAAAAAGGTTAATAATATACTTTATATTTTAGATGTAAAACTGTATTAGTAGCAATAGTAGAACATGTATCTATAAAATATTATATGTTCCTAATTATTTATATTAAAAAAAAATGTCATAAAATAACATAATAATTTTTAATTAAAATGCATACACTTTCTTTTTATATCATATAATTATAAGGATAATAATTATTAAATTTATAGTTCCTAAAAGGTCTAAATATTACAATTTTAATAATTCTTTCCTTTTTCTTTATTGTATGTAATTTATTTTGTTTTTTTTTTTTATTCTTTTTTCTATTCAAAGATTATTAAATAATCTTTTTATCTCCATTATGTTTTTAATTATTTCTATAAGGCATTTTCTTTTGTTATCCTAAAATACCATTTGGACAATTATTTTACTTATTTTATATTCTACATTCATTTTTCAAGTCTTCACTTATTAGAAGTTATACAATAAGAAAGGCATTTTTATTTATTAAATTTTTTTTCTTTCTACAATTTTATTAGTTTAAAAAAAAAATAGAGAAAATTTTTTAAATATGTTTATTTTTTTTTTTTTTCGATAAAAATGAAAAAAAATTCAGACATGCTAATTATTACTTTCTTTTCATTCTTTCTATAGAAAAAAATAATTGAGATACTAAATTTTTTTTTTTAAGATATTTTAAAAAATATCCTTTTATAGAATATGGTATTCTATTTTTTTTTTTTTTTAAGTCTAACTATTTATAAATGTTTTATTTTTTTTCTTTTAATTGTACATTAAGAACTTTCTTTTTATTTTTTCTAGTAATAACTAATTTTTCTAAAAAAATAAATTTTTTTCTATTTTTCTATGTGTGTATATATTATATATTCCTATAAAAAAAAAAAAAAGAAAATTATTTATGGGGATTTTTAAAATTTAAATTTAATATGTCAAATGCTTAACTAAGAAGTATCAATTTAATAATAAGAAAAAATATAAATATTATATTTTGTAAAAACAAATTGTTAAAAAATATATGAAATCCCATGATAAAACTTTTAGAAAAGAATTAAAAAAGTAAAAAATAAATATTAATAATAAAAATATTATATATATATATATATATTAATCTACTTATTATAAAAAAAGTTCAGAATAATATTAAAAAGTAATAAATTTTCCTGTTCTACAATGTTGTTATTAAGTTAATTTGTTTCATTTTAAGAGTTAAAAGGTTACTACTTTTTTATTTATATTTGTAGATAAATTATTTTATTATGTGAAATAACTGTAGTATATGTCTAACACATGAAGAAGGAAAAGAAATGTGTATATTAGATATTTTTATAAATATTCCAAAAAAAAAAAAAAAAAAAAAATGGACAAAAATATTAAATTAATATCTATTTTCGGAAACAACAGAGGTTTAAAAATTATAAGAAATAAAAAAATAATTTTTTTTTTTTAATATATTTATTATATTAAAAATTTATTTCTATCAGATTTAAAAAGAAATATTCATATAATAACTAAAAATAAAATAGGATATATTATTGAAAATATTATATATGTTCTAAATTTAGAAGAAAATATAATTAATTTATATAAGAAGCATATTGGTTATATATATATTTTTAGATATTCTAACCATCTAAAGTTAGCCTTAACATGTAAAAATTAAATATAAAATTTCAAAAAAAACATAGAAAGAAAAATTAACATAGTTAATTCAAAAATAATATTAATAAATTATATATTTTTTACTATATATATATATTTACTTTTTTTTTTTTTTTTTTTCGTATCTATTTATAATTTTTTAATTTTTTTAAATATATATTTTTAGGTGATTTTAATCATTATACAGGTTGTTACGTGTCTTTGTGGGATATTGATGAATATAAAGAAAAATATAATATAAAAATAAAAAATATAGAAAGTTATGATTTTTTTAATTATACTTTTAATAATAAACAAATAATTCATAAAAATGATATTTCTTATAAACAATGTATGATATCAGATATTAATTTTGTAGATGCTCTTGAATGTTTAGTAATACTAACTAACGATAAATGTTATAAAAAATAAAAAGTGTATATAGACAATTTATTTACATATAAATATTTAATACTTTATTATTTTTATTTTTTTTTTTTTTTTTTTTTTTGTAAATTTTTCTAGATAAAACTATAAGTTTTTGGTCTTTATTAAATACACAAAAACCTATCTTATGTATATATACTCATATGAATAAAATAGAAAAAATATTTTTATGGTTTAATTATGATATTTATAAAAATAATATAAGGGATAATAAAAATATATATGATTATTTAGAATATTTAACAATTTTAACTTATAGTTCAAAATGTTTATATATGTGGTATTTTTCTTTTTATATAGAATTGAAAATAAATTGTTTTAAACCTATTTATAATAATTTAATTCCTTTAGATAAAATTTCAACTATTTGTTCAATTAATACAAATAAATATTTTATAGGAACAAATAAAGGAAATATTTATTTATTCGATAAATATATTGCTAAAAAGTAAAAATAAAAAATAAATATTTTTATATTTTATATAAAATGTGTTAAATAATTATTTATAAATAAAATCTATTATATATATATATATATATATATATATATATATATATATATATATATATATATATATATATATACATATGTATATATATTTTTTTTTTCTTCTTTGTTTTTTTTTTATAAGATATTATGAAATATCTAAAAGTTGTATTAAATTAATATTTTTACTTGATAATATACTGATATGTATCTTAAAAAATGGAATGATTTATCGAATTAAAGAATTAGACAATAAAACTAAATGTAACAAATCAGATATAAATGTATTATTAAATAATTATTACAAAAAAAAATTCCAAATAGAAGAAAATATAGTACCATTTAAGTGGATAAATTATTCAGAATATTATTTGAATTTTATATTGATAGCTACAAATACTCATGTTATTCTAATGAATATATATAACGATGAATTTATAATTCTAAAAGTATAAAATATTTAAAAAATATTAAATAATTAATAGTTAAAATTTTTTTTCTCTTTTTTTACTTTGTTTTTTTATAGGAAATATTTGAAAATGATATATATATATCTACATTTATACAAAGTAAAAATAAATATATTATTGCAATGATTAATTTTTATAAAGAAGATAAAAGTTTAATAAGGATGTTAAATCTTGATAACACATTATATAGTAAAAAAAATATAATAATAAATAGATAATGAAAATAAATTCGTTCATTTTTGAAATTTAAATTTAAAAAAAATATTTCTTTTTTACGCTAAAAAATTTTTATTTTGTAGATTGTCCTTTAGTTGTAGAAGGAAAAGTTAATTGTATCATTTCCACTCATAACAACAAAAAACAAAAAAAAAAAAATTATGTAGAAAAGACAGAAGAAAATGAGAATGAAGGAAATAATAATAAATTCAAATGTTTTTGTGAAGATAAATATCAAATGGATTTAAAAAATGAAAAAAAAAAAATTATACGAAAAGAAAAAAATAATATAAGCAATATTTTTGTATTTTCAATAAATAATAAAATAGTATTTTACGAAGAGTTAAATTCAGTTTTATCTTCCTTTTATTCAATTTCTTATTCACATAATAGTAATTAAAAATAACATTCTTATTTATATATCTATATCTTTATTGAATATTTTTATATTTGTTTAATAAATATTTTTTCTATATTTATAATATTTTATTTTACTTATTTTCCTTTAATATATATATATATATATATATATGTATATTATTTTTTTATTTTTTTTTTTTAATAGGATATGTTACTTGTTTTGAATTTAGTAAAGATAATAAATATTTATTTTGTGGTTTTAATGAAGGATCAATTTATATTTATACAATATTTAATAGTAGTTGTTATAATTTTTATAATGATCATAATATAAATAAATTTAAATTTATAGATATGAATAATAAATATTGCATAGCTCTTTATAAAATATTTAGAAACAGTATTGAAACCATTGATATGATAAAATTGTACGATATAAATAATATGAAATTGATTGTTAGTTCAAATAAAAAATTATATTTATATAATTTATTTGAAAATAGTATTAAAAATATTTTAAATTTATCATTAAATTTGAATTTGTCTTTTTTTGAATTATTTGAAGATTACATTAATGATGATATAAAACTTGCAAATTCCTTCTTTAAAAAGCTCATTGAAGAAAATATTATTTTAAATAAAAAAGATATCCTTGAATCAAACATAAATATTTATTTAAGAGATGTATTAAATGATATACAATTCCGTTATAAAATTATTTATTTAAGAAAAGAAAAAAAAGATGATACATTAATTGATAATGATAATATTTTTATTAATGTGCTTGATAAAAATAAAATAAATTATAAAAAAGAAGAAACATATATAAAGAAAAAAATAAATGATATAAGTGAAACAAACCTTGAGAATTATGTAAATAATAATGACTGTAAAGATTATCAAAAGGAAATTAATAATAATAAAGTTTCATACTATAATTTATATATATTTAATAAAGTTATATTTTTTATGAAGAATAATTTTGAAGAAATAAGAAAAGTAGTAGAACAAAGAAATGTATATAATAAAAATGATACAAATAACATATCAAATCCTAATTCTTCTTCTAACATATTAAGTAATAAAAATGGAAATGATAGAATAATTAATTATCATACTACTACTGACAATAATATTATTGATTTTATGTCAGAAAATGCTTGTATCAATAATTTAATGAATACCTTAATTTTTAAAAAAGATATTTTTTATACTGAATTAAATTTAGATGGAAACTTAATGTTATGTTCATTTAAAGATGTAGTATTTGTATATCTAATAAAAGATGATAGTCAATTTTATAGTAAGAGAGAATGTAATTATTCTAAATTTTTGGGAAACATTATAGATGTGAACTTATTAGAAAATAAAATATGTCCATTTAATTATGATGATTTTCCTATTATTATATGTGAAAATAAATTTTTAAATGATTATGGGGAGAATTATTTTTATAATAGCTATCAAAAAAAAAATATCAAAACAAATATCAAAACAAATAATGAAAATCCAATAATTTTCAAAAATATATTACATAATGATGATTATACAAAACATATAATAATTAAAAATGATGCAGACATCCAAAACAAAATTAGAGATGCTAAAGATAAAGAAAATTTAGATGGAAATAATTCTGATTTATTAGAAAAAGTTGAAGAAAAATATCACAATGTCATTTTTATGTATAATGATTATTTATCTTTCGAAAAATGTTCTAATAAATATATTTCTGAAAATAAATATAATCATAAAAATTCTGCTTTAAATAGTAATAAAATGAAAAATATTTTATCTCCTCAATACAAATTTTCCTCTTATTTAAATACAAATTCAACACGTATGTTAAAAGTACCTTATGCTATTGATTATAAAGAAGAACAAAAAAAAATAACAAACAAAAAACCAAATGAAGTTTCTAGAAGTATTTATTTGGAAAATGGTATAAATTCTGTAAATGAAAATACAAATAATAAAAACACTTTTTATTACAAAATAATACATTCTAATTACTTCTATGAAGTTTTTATCTATGTTAAAGGTTAAAAAGAAAAAAAAGGAAAAAATATAAAATAAAATAAATATCTAACAAAAGAAGAGATGTTCTTAAAATCTAAAATTCCACGAATTTTACAAAAATTTTGATATAAAAATGATAAAGCATTTATAATAAATTAAATAAGAAATATTTAATTGCTTTTAGTTAACTTTAAATTATAATTATTTTGTTGTTGATGTTTTTTTTTTTTTAATAGGAGGAAATATAGATAGAATAGAAAAAACAAAAAGAAATTCTTTAAAATTTATTTCCACTCAAATGGAAGAGGGTATATAAAAAAAAAAAAATAAAATAATCTTTTATATATATAAAATTTTATGTAAAAAAATTAAGTGAATTTTTTTTTATTTCATTTTTAGAAAATATACTAGAAATAAATATTCCTTCAACTATAAGAGTTTATTATGAGCAAATTTTAATACAAATGAATTCTTTGCATAATATATGCTATTTGTCTATTCCTATTTTAGAAAAGAAAGAATAAGATATATTATTTTTTTTATATAGAGGATTCTTCTATTTTATAGTTTTTATATACTTTAATTAATTATAAATTTATTTTTTTTTTTTTTTTTAAATATCATTAAATATATCAATATACGTGATAAATTTAAAAGAGGAACCATCATATTTGTTTAAATAGATGTATTCTTTTAATTATAATTTATAAAAAATATATTAGAGTATTTATATTAATCTTGAAATAAAAGTTACAAATAATAAAAATTTAATTTATAAAAATAATTTTTAATTTTAAATATATAAAAATTTATTTTAATGCTTTCATTTTTTTCTATTTTTATTTTAAAAACTTATAAAAGTCTTTAAATAATAAAGGTATATATACAATTAAAAATAAAAAAAAAAAAGACATAATAAAATTAATATATGGAAATAAAACATAATAAAAAAAAAGAATCTTTAAAAATTTTTTTTCTATATATAAGATAATAATTCTTATTTACAAAAATATGTTTATTAATATATATAACATATTTTATGGAAAATATTTCTCCTATTTATTCAATAGTTTTTTTTTTTAAAAATACAAAATTCATTTATAAAAATTTAAAATATATAATAATACTTCATAATTTCATAAAAATGTTGTATCCTTAAGTGTTATTTTAAAATAAATGAAAACCAAGAATTTAAAAATGAAAGAATTTTTTTTTTAATAAAAAATTTGAAATATTAATAAAAAAAAAAAAAAAAAAAAAAAATTATATGCAAGAAAAAGAAAGAAAATCTTTAAAGTGAAATATACAATTTAAAATTATTACTAAAAAAAAAAAAAAAGGAAAAAAAGAGAATTTAATAAAAAATAAATAAGGGATTTTTTTTTTTTTTTTTTTAAAAAGGACATTTTAAATATATCATAAATAAAAATGCGAATCAAATTTTAATATATATTGAAATAAAATATGAATGAATGAAAGAATGAATAAATAGATAAATAATTAAATAAATAAATAAATAAATAAATAATATATGTATACTAATAAAATAAGAATAAACATTTAGACATACACACATTGTACAATAAAATAATGGTATCATAAAGAATATGCATGAAATAAAAGTAGAAATAGAAAAATATATATATATATATATATATATATATATATATATATATATATATATATATAAAACAAATATATATTAAGTATAAATAAAACATATGAATATAAACAAAATTATTATTAAAATATAAATCAAATAGTATATCTTTTATTTTATTTTTATTGTAGTTAAAAATTTCTTTAGTATTTTGTTATATATAAGATAATAAATAAATAATAATTTTTTGTATTAAAAATTGATACTTTAAATATAAATTAAATAGCTAACATTATCTTCTCTTTTTAAAATCCACTCATTTTTTTTTTTATAAATAATATCAATATAATCATCCGATAAATATAAATAACTTAATTTAATTTTTGATAATTGTATATCACGACAGTATTTTGATTGAATTTTTAAAAATCCACTAAATAAACCAGTAGTCGTACAATTCCATATTTTAAAAGATAAATCTAATTTAGAATAAGATGCTAAATATGATCCACTTGTATTAAATTTTATGCAGTTAATATTTTTCTTATGTCCTTGAAAAATTTTTAACTTTTTAGCATTTTTTAAATCATATAAATAAATACACTTATTGATATTATTTACAACAGCTAATTTTTGAGTAAATTTATTAAATGAACAAATAGGATAATGTTTTACTAAAGTATAAATTAAACTTGTTGATAATTTTAGACATAAAATTCTTACGTTATTAGAAGGATCTAATGAATTTAATAATATATCAATTATTATATTCAAGTAGTATATAAATATACTTTTGTAATTTTTAATTAAAATAATTATGAGAAATAATATTTTATTAATACATGATACACGTTTTTGTACATTTGCTGTTATATAATACAATGTCTTTAAAAATAAAAAGGGTTCAATTCTTCCAATGTTTATTAAAATTTTAAGAAAACTAATATTATTTAATGATAATGTATATAATTCAAATAGATTCAATATAAAATGACATATATTTATATAATTATTTTCATTAATCGTTGATATATGTTTCTTCTTTTTGCTATCATCACAATTCATTTGATAGGATTCACTATATAAACTTTTGTTTTTGTTAAAAGATATGCTCTTATCATCATCATTCATATATTTATGATAATATTTATCTGTGTATAATTTTGATGTTTTAAAAATATCATTAGTTTTATTAATTACATTATTATTTTCATTATATACATCTATAGAAACATTTTCGCTCGAATATATATAAAATTCTTCTTTTTCAAATTCTACTTCATTAAATTTATCTATGTATTCTATATAATCTTCTATGTAATTTTTCATGTTTATTTCACTTAATGAATTACTTAATTTCTCTTCTGGTGAGTTTCCAATAATATAATAATTTTTTAGTGTTTTAAAATAATTGTTATTGATAAGTTTTCTGTTAAATTTAAAATCTTCTTTCTTTAAATTCAAGTTGAAAGAGGTATTAGAAATATTTTTCATATTGTTAGTAAAAATTCCCTTTTGCGTTAATATATGAAGATCCCATGTAATAGAAAAACTTAATGACAATAAATGTATAAAATGAAATAGTTTAAATTTATTAAATTTATTATTTTTTTCTAAAAAATACTTAGTATCTACAAATATATAATAGCATATATGATGTATTATTAATGTTGTCATATTAGCATTTGTATAAAAAGTTTTAGATCTCCATAAATATTCTGCTTTAACTACCAATAATAGTAACAGTAAAGTTAAACAAATTTCGTCTGCATAAATAAACGGATACAAAAATAAGCTTCCTATTTTTGGTATAATTATAGATATTATATATGTTCCACTTGCATCATATAAAGAAATTTCATCAATATTTTTTTCAATAATTCTTTTTTTTTTATTATTTATTCTTAATACTTCTGTAGATGCTTTTGTATATTTATCTAATTTTTTCTCACTTATATTCCCTATTATGTTAAGCAAAAACTTTTGTAACTGTAACCTTATGCTTTTATCATAGGGATACATTGATATATAACTTAATAAAAATAAATTTGGGGTGTTATATTGAACTAAATTATCAACTATATATTGTTTAAATTTATTTATAATATAGTCATTATATTTAATTTTATAAATTGAACACCACATATTTAAAAATCTCAAAGTAAAACAGCAATACAAGGTTTTTACATATAAACTATTGCAATATATACTAATAGTATTATTAAAATAGATATATTTTGTTTTTATTATCGATTTTTTTTTCTTTTTTTTACTCTTTCTTATATATAAGTATATGCTCGACTTATCAGATGATAAACGTGTGTTATTATCATCAGAGTAATTTAAAAAACATTTTGGGGATTCAAAGGAATATTTTTTCTCATTTTCTATATAGTTATAATAATTATAACGCAAAATATTGTAATTTTGACGTTTTTCATAGTTTTCCATAAGATTACATTCTTTATTATTTTTATTAAAATTATACGAATTATTACTATCAGAGTCATTAGTTTTATTATATTCATTTTTAAAATAATCACTACATATATTTGAATTTGAATAATTTTTATTAAAACTTTTGTTATTTTCTAATAAACCTAAAATTACTTTATTTCTTTTGGTATAATTATTAATAAAATACTTATTATGATTATTATATGAATTATTTTTAATAATATCAAATTTTTTAAAATTTTTGTATTTTGATAATTCTTTGAAATCTTTAGAATAATTTTTTAGACTTCCCATTTTTACATCAAAATAAATATATTTCTTCTTAAATTTATTACTTAAAAAATATTTCTTTTCAAATTTTTTATAAAAAGAAAAATCATAGTCTAAATTTAAACAATCATAAAAATATTTTATCTTTTTTCTTTTTTTTTTTAACATATATTTATTTTCTCTTTTATTACTTATAGTAATATATGTATCTCCATATTTTTTCCATTTCAGTGGATTCATTTGAGAAAAGTAATATATCTGAGTAGATATAGGAATAACGAAAGAAAGAGAAGATTCTATTCCATGTATACATAAGGAAAAAGGAATAGAAGGAAAATCAATTAAAAAAGGAAATATTTCCTTACAAATATTTATGCAATTTTTTGGTAAGAAATAATGATACAGTAATTTTGTTAGAGGTAAGAACTTTTTTGATAAGTTATAATCTCTAAATAGTACAAAACTTATAATAGGTATTTGACTTTTTATTATATAATTTGATACTTCTATTTTTTTACTTAAATTTACTTTTTTATTTTTTTTTTTTTTCATATAGGAAATATCATTTGTTTCTGCATGGTCTGTTTTATTTCTTCCTTTATCAAAAACATTTTGATCATTTAATATAGTTTTACTTTCATTTAAGATATTCATAATATTATTTTTTTTTTCTTTTATTTTATCTAGTTTATTAATATTATCTGATGGCAAGAAAGAAAAGTTGGAAGATGAAGAAGATACAGAAGAGAAAGATTTACTAAGGTTATTTTTATTTTTATAATTAGATAGTATATATTCATTCCTATCTATATTATTTTTAAAAGTATCTTCATTGTTTTTTAATTTTATCTTATTTAAAATATTTAGATTAGTTATATTTACTCCTAATTTTAAATAGGACTTATCGTAAGAGATATTGGATATATTTGCATATTCTGAATCATATATAGATCTTAAAAAAAGACCATTACTATAATTATAAATAAAAATGCTGTTATTCAATAAAATAATATATAGCAAAGAAGAATAAGTATTAATATATATGTTATTAATTAATTTAAAATTTATTTCATTTTTTTTTTCTAATTTTTTAAAGCAACAGTGGAAACATACATGAGTCATATTTTTTAGTTTTTCATCTTTTTTTTTTCTCCTTAATTCTTTTTTCATTTTAATTGGATAATATACTCTTGAACTTAACGTATTATTATAAGAAATTGAATAATATTTAATGAGTTTTCGAATTCTTAATTTTTTTTTAAATTTAGAAATTTTTAATAAGTTATATTTTCTTTCTTTGTTAATTAAATTTCTTTTTTTTAAAAATGTATTCATATAATTTAAATTTTTGTAATTTTTTTTATATGAGTGATTAACTTCATCGTCAGTGGTAATAACTATTTTATATTCATCATTTTTACAAAAGAAGTTGTCTTTATTATTTTCATAATTCCTTTCATCAATATTTAACAAAATTAAATTATTAGACGCATCACAAGATAATATCCAATGATTTTGTAATTTATTTGAATAACTTCCGTTTACAATAAAATTTTCATTTATTACTTTATTGATACTACATATATATGATAAATGACAATTTTTCAGAAATTTAACTAATTTGAAATTTGATATATTCCATATTAAAATATCTCCTGTACTTGAGCCACCTATTAAATAATTGTTTTCATTAAATAAAGTTGTTATAAAAAATTTTTTTTTTAACAAACCATTTGGCAAAGGTAAATGAAAAATTAATTTATTTTTTGGAATTTTTTTATAGGTATTAATTAATGTACTAGTTACAATACCATTTAAATAACTTGTAATAATATATATGTTTAAGTTATATTCTACTATAGCATATGTTACTATTTTTCTATTTATATCAGAATCTTCTTTTTTTATTTTGTTCATCTTTTCATTATTAATGTAATTGTTTATCATATTATTAGTAATAATACCATTATTAGTTGTATTTTTCTCATTTTTCATATATGTATTATTATTTTCTATGTTTATATCATTTGCTACCTTACTATAATTTATTAAGTTATTCATTTCTTCTTTTATATTTTTTTGTTTGGGTAGTAACCATACTTTCTCTATTTTTGATGTTTTATACCAATTGTTGTTTAAATATTCAAAAAGAATAATTCTATTCATATAATTTTTATTTATAAAAAAAAAGAATAAATCATCTTTACCTTTAGAATATTTTTCTAAATTTATATTGTTGGTTTTTTTTAAGTATTTTATATTTTTTAGTGAATTATTATCATCATTTGAATTTTTATGTGATATGATAGATTCCACTGAAAATTGTTTATTTTCATTAGTTAATATTTCATAGCTATTATTTATTTTTATTTCAATATTTCCATTATTATTATTATTTTTCTTTTTTTCTTTTTCTTTACTTTTTGATAATTTTTTCCTATGAATAATTATAGGAACTGGACTCTTAAATGATCCCAAAAAATGTTTTGAAATTTTGGTTAAAAAAAAAGATTTAATATTTGATTGAAAAGATAAAAATAAACTAGAGAATTTTAAAGGTAAAGTATAGCAGTAAAAATTTCCTTCAGTAGTCCATGCTATAATTGAACCACATACATTTTTAGATAACTTTTGCATAATATTAAATGATTTTTTTTTAAAACTAATACTTTTAAAAACACCTAAAAATAATAAATTATTAAAAAAAAAAATTTAAACATTTTCTATTTAAATTAATGGAAACATGTATTATAGTAGTGAATAAAAATATATATATATATATATATATGTATATAAATTAATATAATATTTAATTTATAAAAAAAAAAAAATTATAAAAGTTATAATTAATTTCTAAATTAAAAAATTTTTAAAATTATTCTGTTTTTGTAATACATTAAAACAAAAATATACTATTATATACTTGTTTTTATAAATTTTGTAATTGTATATATTTTAATATTTTATATATCTCATTGCTATATATTATTAAAGTTAAATATTATAATTATATAAAATAATATATAAAATAATACACAAAAAAAAAAATAAAATAATATTCACCTGAGGAAAATTTCCATATTGGACTTCTTAAAGCTTGTATTCCTATCCAATAGGAGTTTTTTTTTTTTTTTTTTTGAGATTCTTGAAAATCTGGACAAAATAAATCCATCAATGGAACAAAAAAAGAAGAGGAATTTTTTCTTTCATATATAATTAATCTTGTTTTCTGTAAAATTACAATATAATTATCAATAATAGATATTTGACTTGAATTTCCGTTAGTAGAAATTTCTAAAATATTATGTGATTGTTGTAAATTTGAAATAAAAGTTGGTTCAATAACATATAATCCAAGATTTTGTTTATATATGTCTTTATTTATGCATTTATCATGTGTTTTTAAGTTTATATCACGAGAGAAGTTAAGTCTTCTTTTAATTAAATCGTCGTATATACAATTCTCAGCTATATCTTCTATAATTTCATTATACAATTCAATCTCAGTTTTTTCAGTTCTTACAACAAAACGACATTTACTTTTGTAATAATTTAGAAAATCAGTCAAATCCCAACATATTATGTCTCCATTATTTAAAGATGCACAAATTAATACAGGGCAGTAAAATAAATTATTAAGATTTTGATTTATTTCATTTTCTTTTATTTTTATATATTCTTCATTTAATTTATTAGACTTCTCATCATCTTTAATAAAATCATTATTTGAAAGATTTTCATTTTTATCTTTTTTCTCTTGAATACTAAAAAATTTTCTTTTTAATAATTTAAAGCATTGAATTAATGATCTTTGATTTTCTTCTTTTAAATATGGTACCAATCCTGTTGCTATAGAACATATTTTATTATCGTTATCTTTTTTTTTATTATTTATCTGAATATTTTCTAAAAAAATGTTTTTTTTACCACTTCCTTTATTATTTTTACTATCTATGTGATTTTCATTTACAGAAGACATGTTACTTAATTCTAATTCATTATAAGATGAAGAATAATATTTATCATCAATATCCCCTATATAATTATCATCACTTTCTTTTTTTATTATGATTTCTTCCTTGTTATCTATCTCTTTATTTTTATAATTATCAATGATAAGACAAGCGATAATTTCTTTATCTTTGTTCGCCCATAAGTCAATTAATAGAACTTTCTTATCTCCTGATATAAGAAGAAATCTTCTATCAGGTAAAATCCTCAAATTATAAATAAAAAAATCAAAATTCCTTAAAACTTTAAAACATCTTCCTTCATCTAATGACCAAAAATATATCATATTATCCATATGTAAAGAAATTAATATTTCACTAGATATACACTCAATAATAGAACAACAAGATAAACCAAAATTTAATTGTAAGATGGTGTTATTACATGTATTACTATTGTTATTAAATAGAATGCTATATGGAAGTAAATTTATTCTATTATTTATAGAAGAATTTTCTTTATTTATATTAACTTTGCTATCACTATTCCCATCAAAATAATTTTTTTTATTATTTATATATACATTTTTTGTATTCTCAAAGTTACAAGAATTTTTACTATTTTTACAATAATTCAAGAATTGTTTAATGTTTTCTTTACATTCACTATTTTTTGTAAAGGCATCCTTACAATTTAAATATTCACTTCTATTATCTTTTACATTATTAATACCACTACATAAATTATTCATAATTTCTATATCATTTATATAATTTTCATTTTCATCGATTTTAAATAAAACAATACTTCCCTCATAACTCCCAACAGCTAAAATGGAACAGCTCTCATTTATTGCATAACACGATGTACTAAAAGGTGAACAAAAATTAGGCCAAAGAATTGACCCTAATTTTAAATCTTCATTCATTGTTATTTCATATTTTTAGAAAATGTAAAAAGTTAAAAAAAAAAAAAAATGTAAATATAAACAAAAAAAAAAAAAATAAAAAAATAAGCTATACAATATTAAATATATTTGATATTTTTTTTTAATTCATTTTTTATTATTATTACACTTTACAAAATTATCATTATTCTTATTTATATTTTTTTATTTTTATATTTACTAATATATATCTAAAATTATTTATGAATTTTTTTATATATGTTCTTTTTCTTTTTCCTTTTACTGTTTTTTTTTTTTTTTTTACTGTTCCTCTTCCTTTTCTTTTTATATTTTCTTTTTTCTTTCACTCCTTTTACTCTTCCTCTTTCTTTTCTTTATATGTTTTCTTTTTCTTTTTTTTTTTTTTTTTTCTATTTTTATGCTTTTTCTTTTGTTTTTTTTCTCTTTTTATTTAATTCTCAAAAAGGTGACACTCATCTTTTACATTGAATTATTAAATAATATATATATTTTATTAATAATATTTAAAATTTTATAAAATGTAAATATACATATTTTATTTTTATATATGTTTTTTCTATAAATATGTATGTATATTTTTAAAAAAAATATATTCATAAAAATTATCTTCTTTTCAAAAATTAAATTATGAAAGTTATTTTCCATATACTTTGTATGAAACTATAATAAATTATTAGATGAAACTTGATTTTTATATTATTTGTAAAAAAATGAAAAAGAACAATTTTAAAGAACAAACATAAGTAGACGTGTGCACACATGCATATATTTTATTTTATGTTTTTTATATATTTCATAACTATTATATATATATATTTTTATATGAATAAAATTTATACATTTTAGCATTTAAGTCATAAATAGTTTAATAAATATTAATCTAAGTGTAATGAATTATGAATCAACAAAAACATTACCTAATTTAAACTAAATTCTATAAAGTTGAATTGTGAAATTGTGAAATTATAAAATTATAAAATGAATTTTTTATGTAAACTGCTGATAAATTTTTTTCATATTTTAAAAGTTAATATAATTTATAGTAAAACTAATAGAATAATCTCGAAACATATTAATAAGAATTTTTATCTTAAAGAATTTTAGTAAATTTTGATGAATTACCCTCCTTTTCTAATATTTTAGACTGATATCATAAATATTTCAAAAATGGTATCTTTTATTAAAAAAAAAAAAAAAAAGAAAATATAAATACTACTTTATATTTATAGTGAATTAGAAAATATAAATACTACTTTATATTTATAATGAATTAGAAAATATAAATACTACTTTATATTTATAATTAATTAGAAAATGTTAATACTACTTTATATTTATAATGAATTAGAAAATATAAATACTACTTTATATTTATAATGAATTAGAAAATATAAATACTACTTTATATTTATAATGAATTAGAAAATATAAATACTACTTTATATTTATAATGAATTATCTTTTATATCTATAACATAAAAAATTCAAGTTCTTTATCTGATTAACTTTGTTATAAAATAATGATTATATTAAAAAATAGAGTAATAAAATTTGTTAACAAAATGAATAATAAACCAACATCATACTAAGTTTTTTTGCATTTACACAATTAAAAAAAAAAAAATAAATAAAATAATAAATTACTTCAAATATAAAACTACTTTATAATTCAAAAAATAAAAATTATAGAAAGTTATTCAACTAATAAATATAAATTTTCAAACAAAATTTAAAAAAAAAAAAAAAAAAAAAAAAAAAAAAA